CTGCATGTGAAAAATATATTTGTTACACGAAAATCTTACAATTGGATTTGTTTTAAAATAAATCCAGAAAATGACTTTTCTTATGGATCCAGATGTTCTGCATGTGAAAAATATAATTCTCACACAAAAATCTTATAACAGGATTTATTCTAAAATACAAACTATACTCTGATGACTTTTCTTCTATATGGATAACAAGATTTCCCATATAAATGTTCTGCATCCAGATTATTAAGCATCTAGACAAAAATCTTATCAAGTATGTAAAACTATCTTTTAACTTATTATAATTTAAATAATAATTAGCTGAAATCTATATCTTCAAAGGAAATATAATCGTTTTTATATTTCCATCGCCACTCAGTTACTTTTTGTTGCTTGGAGGTCTGTTCATGAGCAATTTTTGAAGAAACACAAGAAAAAAACTTAATAATAACCTTCCAAACCCTCAATTTTATCAAGGGTTTGGGCGTCTGACTCTCCCCTGTCATCTTCTTTTGTAGTCTGCAGTCTCGTCTACCAATGGATCATAAGCAGCAATCAGAAAAAAACTGGTAAAATCGTTGGCTTGTCACCAGCACCGAGTAGCGCCAAAACTAAAAAACCAAAGACAATCGCGAAGCTCGCCTTCTACCAGGAACCGAACAAAACTCTCGATATTGCGAGCATACAACAGACTCCTGCTCGACTACTTCCTCCATCCCTCGAACCCTCGCTTAGGATTCGTGATGTCAGTAACAATATTCTCTCAATATTGCGAGCATACAACAGACTCATGCTCGACTACTTCCTCCATTTCTCGACCCCTCGCTTAGGGTTCGTGATGTTAGTAACCACAATCTCTCGATATTGCGAGCATACGACAGACTCCTGCTCGAGTGCTTCCTCCACCTCTCGAACCCTCGCTTAGGTTTCGTGATGTCAGTAACCACATTCTCTCGATATTGCGAGCATACAACAGACTCCTGCTCGACTGCTTCCTCCACTTCTCGACCCCTCGTTTAAGGTTCGTGATGTAAGTAACCACATTCTCTCGTACAAGTTTATAGTCTAACGTTCTCTCGAAACCATTCAAGAGAAATGTTCCCATTCTAGCCGTTCCCATAACGTTCATAGTTGTTTACGGTGCAAACATGAAATCAATTCCATAGATTCATATATTACTAAATTCCCTGATTTTAATACTTACTAAACTGAGAGAGAAGTCACGGCGCGTCTGTATGTGAACGACTGTTTGGATCATTAAGTGTTGGAAAATGTGCAAAGCCTCCAGTCAAACTCCAAACCGAATCAGAACCCTATAGTGATTTCCGATATCCCAACAGCAATTGGGAGTGCATAGGGTAGGACTGTTAGTCAACTATTACAGGATACGACTTTTTCTCGGACGGCATGAGCCAACGACTATATAAGCATCAGCTCCCTTCAGCATATCAAACACTACTGAACTCAAAGAGTCCAGAGTGCCATCAGGGATAGCTTTGACCCCGATAGATTCATTCTCTAGAGTCTTATTCCTCATTTCAATTCGGCAACTGAAATTATCGTACAATGGTCGCGTCATCCAAGTCTCCAATGGCCACTTTCGTCCTGGCTGCGGTCGTGCCTTTCCTCATCCGAGGTAGCCTGTCTCAGAATTGTGGAAGTCAAGCAGGTGGAGCATTGTGCCCGGGTAACAACTGCTGCAGTCAGTATGGCAATTGTGGTGCGCACGGGCTGCAAGAGCGGTCCTTGCACATCTGAAACTAGTGAAAAGTGTGGCAGTGCTTTTGGAAACGTAGTGTGCTTAGGAGGCCTTTGCTGCAGTCAGTACGGGTATTGTGGGACTACAAATGAGTATTGAGAGCGGGCTGCCAAAGTTAGTGCTCATCAACTCCATCGCATACACCACCTTCAGGTTCATGTGGGAGCGGCCTTGGAGGAGTTGTATCTGAATCCACATTCAACTCACTTTTTCCTAATCGGAATCTGATATACACTTACCAGAATTTCATGACTGCTGCGTCCTTTCTCACTTTCGCAACCACTGGAGACTGCAATACCCGCAAGAAAGAAGTCGCAACTTTCTTTGCTTAAATCTCTCACGAAAGTTCTGGTGGTTATGTCCATGGATCTTCCTCAGTATACTTGGAAGTATATTGAGGATCTTCCAGATCTTAAAGTATATTGCCAGTGGTCGAGAATGAACCTTCCCTGTGTGGACGTGCAACGCTATTCAGCGTAAGAAACGCATATGGGATCAGAAGAATATTTAATCCCCAGCATGAGAACTAGGTTATAGGGTCTTAACTTAACTATAGGGTCTAACTTAAGTCTAAACTAGTTCGAAAAGTTTGATAGGTTTGTACTGAATGAAGGTAAATATGATTACATTCAACTAAGATATAATAAATTTAGACACAACAGTCACTTGACTCGTACAGAATCCAAATAGGACTCCACTCACCTTCTTGAACTGCAGCCATGCAGAACGGACGACCGTCTACATTGAAACCGTACCCCGGCCATCTTTAGGTCTATTTGAACAAGAAATTATTCATATGTTTAGATAATCTTCGCGCTCTTTCTTCTATTACAATTGTCTTCTTTGTCCTATGGTCTTGTGCACATACATCACTGTGCAGTCTTTAGTCATCTTCTTCACAGTTACCAGTGCACTATTTCATTCCATGTACTATATTTGTTCTCATTCACATGCAAGTACATACTGTGCATCCCAACATGGTGGAAAAGTTTTCGGAAGCGTCTCTTTCCAGCACGACGGGCACTGAAGACGACAGTGATCTTCCCCAGTAAGAATAGTCAACGCCTGGCTGTAATGCGGGTCACCAGGAACGTCTTTCCTAGATTAAAGGATTTTGGTTTTGCACCTCATCATCCAAAGTCCGTTGTATTATGTCCTTGTTCTCGTTGACTTCCTCACACTGGAGTGCCATAACTGATATGGTTCACGCTGGGCAGGGGCATTGCTCCTATTTCGAATAGTACTTTGATCACATAGCACTCGTGGTGACACACATCTTGGGCATATATGCATACACTTCTTGTGACACGCAATGCAGTGATCGACAGCATAAGCATAAGATATCCAAAAACGTGTATTTTACATTCGGTCCCCGAGAAAGTCGTTCTTTCTCTATTCGCGCAGGGAGCGTAGACCCAAAGAGCTGAGCGTTTTTTCTTACTCAGACTTCATGTACAATCCAAGTGAAACAGCTTATGCAACTACACCTAAAAGCCAAAAGTTCAACATTTTCCATACTGGCAACGAACGAGTGTTTGGACGGAACATCTAGAAGTTCTGGTCTGGTCTTGGGATCGGTAAACGAGTTTATGTGGTCAGTGAATCTAATGTTTTGTAGACGTGAAGGAAACTCACGACTTGGCTTTAGAGCACCACATACAGCCGAATATATCGTGAGGTTTACAAGATCAAAACATATTTCTTAGTAGGACACAAGGTTTCGAAAAGAGAAAATAAACCAGGACAACTTTCGTTGTAATAGTCACTACATGAGATTGCACAAATGCCAGAGAGGAGATCGTAATAATTGACCCAGCAAATTTCAAGTGCGACTCATCGATGTAAGTTGACTTACGGAAAAAAGGCTTTCACACAAAGTGTGATCACATCCCGATTTATCTAAGATAATAAAAAAGGACGGAAACCACATGAACCAAATGAAGATAGTTACAATACATGGGCAGAAACTGAACTGAACAACGCTACACACAAACAAGTATGTCACTTGATGAGACAAGAACTTCTGACCTACAAAGTTTCCACCTCAATACTACAATCCTGACAGACAAAATTTGTCACTCTCCATGGAGCGTTCCATGTGTTGCAAGATTATCGCAACGTAAATGAATGATTGAAACTGTCATCTATTGGATTTTGGCCAAAGTTGCAGCTCTGACAATTCAGAAGAAAGATCCGTTGAAACAGAGAATGTTAAGAGGAAAAACCAGTGAAGAAAGAGACAAATCTCCAATCGTAAGAAGTATATCCACCACAAAACAATATAAACCGGCAGAGTTTCATTCAACGAGATTCTCCAATTGCCTACCTCATTTCCAGAAACTCATATATTGCATGCTCATATAGGGACCTCATTTGAAGGCATAGGTGAATCAGGATAACTAGTAAGCTCCAGATTTCCGAGGCCCAATCTTAACAACGTGGAGGGGCTAGTCTTGAGGCCATACGTTAGGTCAGCTTGACACTATAAAATACTCGCCTCAAGCTGCAGATGACTCTTAAAGTAGCAGTTCAAATCCGAGCACTAGGTACTCCTTTTCATGAAGATAAAAACAGGAAGAGAGCTACCGATGTTGCCAAATTAGGTTGACCAATTTTCTTTATCATAAGATACGCTACTTAGAACAGAAGCAAAAGCCTTCAGAAAATACAGATAACTAAACATCAATTTGTGAGATTGGAAACAGCCAGGTACTCCATACAATCATATAGTTAGAAATGCTTCAACAGACGCGGGTCAGATCATTCCAGCTGCCTTGATGTCAAGTCGTTTACATCGACAGCCTGCAAACAGTCGCATCCACTACATCATAAGTAAGGTTAATAGGAACTTGTTCTCCCATATACAGAGGATGAAGGCGGTGAAAGATCATTGTGACGAGACCAGCTGCCAACGGCAAATAATCAGTTACAGCTAGCAATCACATAAAGTAATCAACAAGCTAATGACTAAGTTATCTCCTCCAGTTCGCTGATGTCAACGTTAAGAGCTAATGAATTCAAAGTTGAACATTATTTCTAGAACACAATGCTCTCGCCTTCAGTTAGCAGTGGTAGGTGAAAAGACCACAGTTATATGAGTGGATCACATGATTCACTGCGTAAAAAGTTGTGACAAAGAGATCAGGACACACAAACATAGCAAGGATAGTATGCTCATTCTAATATCCGTTATTATTTTAAGAAAAACAACACTGTGTACCACCACTACCGGTTGTTTTTGCCTACAAATATGATGCTCACACCTAGCACTAGCAAGTAAAACTAGAAAGAATGTGGAATGTGATAAAAGAAAAGAAAAAAAGACCGATTCGTGTTTACTTAAAGCAATTAAAAAATGATAAACCAAAGAAAACTCCATACAGATACCAGCAAGATCATTTGCCAAACAATCTTGCACTGGATAGTCCAGTAGAAATAAATTTTAGGTGCTAGAAGTAGCAAAACACCAGTTCGCGTCCAATTGTTTCCAGAGACCATAAGAACAGGGAAAAAATTAAAGAAAAAGCGTGTGAGAGAAAAAGGTCACAAAACCTAAACGATAGAGTGGTTGTAAGGCAATACAAGTAACTGCAATAAACTTACAACCGGAGGTCTTGTAAGGTTTTGGTTCCTACTGTGGATTTGCAGCTAGTCAGCTACCTGTCATGGAGAAGAGCAGTCCAATAGATACTCAAAGCATGAGCCGCCAACAACACGGAACCAATCAGGCATGTGCTGCCATCATGCCCTCCAATCATCCAAGCTTATGAAACCCTTGCTTTATTTGTGCAAGAATATGTGGTTGACCAGTGCAAGGAAGTATCTCCAGAAAGCCATATAAATTGCCAGGTATTATTGGAGATGTCGAAGTCAGTAAACAATAATCTGATCCTTTAAATTTTCAAAGGCGCAATGTAAACATCAAATTATCAACCCGATCTCCTGCTGCCATAATTTCCCCTGTTAGGACCCGTGGGAGGAAGGGGCCTACTAACCACCACCAGTGAATGACCAGGGCGCGCTCCTGCATGGACAAATAAAATCAGAATCAGAACCAATGTCATGGTTTGAAAGAAGAAAGAAGAACCTAATAACAACAAACCATATGATATTGAGGATTTCCTTGATGTCAATCCTTAGCCTAAATCTACCACTCACTGGAGACTTAACACTTAAGCCATGTGCATACAAGTCGCTTAAGCCAGTGAGGTGTACGGCCTAACTCTGAAGTTGGCAAAGATCATTTCAGCATGACTCGACATCATCATGACTGCAATCTGCCAACTTCAATTTCTTGAGTCCAAAAGACCAACGATACATTAAGTGGGAGCATGTATGCATTTTCACAATAATCAAGGACTCACCCAGAGTTGAGAAATCATGTGGTAACAAATTTTGTGCATAAGGTAGAGGGTACCCAGGGGGAACCCAAGGAGGTAATGGAGATGAAGGATCTGCTACTTGAGACAAATGCTGCTCCTGGACCACATTTGGAAGCCAAGAGCCTGTGATCATGTGAAAACCTGTACCAGCAGGGCCAGCGTTTGACCCAACTCCTGGAAGACCAATGACGACACCGAGACCACTATTTCCTGGAACTCTAGGATTTTGTGGATATCCACCCCTTGTGTCCCTCTGTGGTGAAGGCAGAAGTCCCACGGGACCGTTATTCCCTGGATCGCCTACCATCTGACCACGAGTAGTTCCAATACTAGGAGAAACATCTGGTGTATGTTGTTGTGCAGCAGATTGATGAGACTGAAGCTGCGGTCGGTGCTGCTGTGGTATTTGGGTAGTCTGGGGACCCAATCTGCTAGGTGAAGTCTGCTGAGGAGCATAAGGCCCATGCTTGGAAGAATTCCGAGGAAAGCCTGGTTGAAGACCATGAGAAGAACTCTGAGGAGTATTGACGTTGGCCTCTACATTACTGCCCATAGGCACTTGTCCTTGCACTGTCCCGTTTAATCTGAAAATCCAGGATTGAAAACATCAGAACTAAAGTGTAACCTGGGCTATCGAAACATTTCAGACACAAAACGGTAACAAGAGAGCAATCATCCTTCATGCGAAATCCACTAAACTCATCCTCTGGACATGATTCCAATCTTGTCTAGAGTCTACTGTCTTAGTTACCTGGACTGTCCACTGGTCACACTGCCGTGCACGTGTTGGTATGGGATTAAAGCTGAGCCAATCCCTTGTCCTGGTCCTGAATAAGAACTAGGACCAAGCCTGGACACTCCACTTACCACTTCGTTCAAATCCAACGGGGGAACAGTTGAAGCTGATGCATCCAATGAATCATCTAATAAAGAATCATCACTGCTGAACCAAAAAAAACAATCATTCATAAAAAAAAGATTAGAGAAGGATGATGAAGCACCCCATTTGAACGAACCATTTGGAAAGTAATAATAAAAGGATCTATGACATTAATTACTAAGTACTCATTTGAGTGTCTTTATAGTACTACACATGAATCCAAACTTCAGTGATGGATGTTTTATCTGATGCTGGCAGATGTCAAGTCAAATGTTGATTGCAGGGCTCCACAAACCTGTAATTTGGATCCCAGTCGCCGGGATCCGGAGGAGGAGAGATATCTTCCCCTACTTCTGACACTGTATCAGGTGAGCTTAAAAAAGCTCCCAAGGAGCCAGGCGCATACGAATTAGATGACGGAGGAAGATGAGGACCTGCATTACTCCTATGCCTCCGATGAGGAAGGTGTGGGGGACCTTGAGATGATACACCTCGACTTCCTGCTTCGTTCCCATTGGCATTCTGTTGATGGAGACGCTGTCGATGTGCTGCCATGAGATCGTGTGCGTTTGGATTGGAAACTGGCAACCTTTGTTCCCATGGCCTTCGCTTGGTCATCTTGTATTGAGCCCCTTTGCCTAAGCCACTTGCACCAACACCTGTGCGAGCAGGAGAAGTAGGGCCATATCTACTGGGGGAACCTTGAGAAGGTGAACTGGGGGACGTGAGAAACTGAGAGGCAGGGGACCCCAGATATTGGGAACTCGTAGATGCTTGGTAATTGGAACTAGGTGAGGGGTGAAACGAAGAACTAGGCGACCCATGGAACTGGGAACCTGGAGAAGCTGCAAACTGAGAGTGCGAAGGACTTGCTCCCAAAGACATAGCCCGAAAACCACTAGAAGAAGGGCTCATCCCAAGTTGAGTCTGCGGTAAATTTGGGACACATGAGTGCATTCTGCGATATGTGTCTGGGCTTACGCCAAGAGCAGCAGCCGCTGAGCCTCCTTGATTTGGAGTGTTTACTCCTGCGACCGGTGTCGTAGGATAACTCATGTACATTCCTGAAGAGTCGCCATAGCTTCCATAGCTACTACCTAAACCAGCACTATCTCCATAGCTTCCGTAGCTACCAATACTTCCATAACTGCTGGCAAATGAGAATGGAGTCGCTTGATACTGCGTGTTGTACCGCATGCCATGATTAACCTGCAAAAACAAGATATAGAAGAATTCTGATCAGATACTTCCAGTAGATAATGGACTTGAGGCAAAGAAGTCACAAGAGAGATGACATCTGCACTATTCATGAAGTCTTATTTCGCCAGAAATAGAAATGTGTAGCATATAAAATCTGAGTGAACTGAAAGAGTAAAAGACCCTACCAAAGGTACTTATTTAGGCATATAGCCTAAGTATATGAGTTTAAAAGCAGGAGATAAACCTCTCAAGTTCAACATTAGTATAAAAGCAAAGCCCAAAGACAAGAGACCTGAATGATGTACATTAACCTTGCGGACATGTTAGGCATACAACACTTTGAGCTTAAAAATAGGCATAGAAATATGTACACAGCTAGCACTTTGTTCACAGCACACTTCATAATTTACGCATGATGTAAAATTCTGATATTTTATACATACTTGAGGAGAAAGTCCTGCCCCAAACCAATGACCTGAAACAGGATTGTGCTCAACCGCCATTCCATGACCAACAGGCTGATAACAACACACCACACAAAAGTTAACATTTGCAGTCGATTCGAGTGCATAAGTTCCTGATGAACACATACCATACCAATCAAGGTTCACAATTACACCACTAAAAACACAAAGCAGTTCTCATTGGGTTGCAAATATTACTCTTCGGGGCGTCTCTGGAGGTGGCCTGAAGGGGCCGCTGAAAGCCGCTTCAGTAAGGAATGGATGTTGAAGTGCCTTCATTCAGCAACATCAAAAAGGTTAGGCTACATGCATCTCTCATCATTCAAATAGCATTCTATTTTGGTCCGCAAGAAACATGAAAGAATATCCAACCATTGATCGCACTACAAATTACTCTGGTGGGAATCAACCTCACCTGCCGTGGGGTCCAGCGACTAACTGGATCGAAGTTCACAAGGCCCTTCAAAAAGTCGATAAATGCAACACGGATTTGTGTTTCTGTATAAATGTCCAAAAATTAATGTTCAGGTAACTCATCTCTTCTCAACCCAATGAGACAAAGTTTCAAAAAAATCTGCCAGTTACTCTACTGTTCGCTTCAAACTTACCAGTTCTGGATAAAGCTATATAGGAGAATCAGAGTCTCAGATGTTTTTAGAAGAATAAAAGAAGTAAATTTACATAAACTCTCAGCCCTCGAAGGAGGAAGAATCACTAGCATCCCAAAGCATGTGAAAACACAATAATCAGAAACACCTCAAAACATTGAAAAAATTCTTTAAATTCAACTTGTGAACATCGCACTACCTGCGTCAATTTCTTCTGGGGTCATTCGTCTCCTTAACGGATAGTTGACAATGATATCGTCCAGTTTCCTATGAGCGAAGTATCTTTTCCCAAGAGCTGGTTTCCTTTGCTCTCTCTGTAAAGAACGAATAAGAGCATTCACTTCCATAACTTTAGCATGCAAACATGTTCGACAGTGTCAACGAAGAACAATGAATACCAGTCCAAAACGTTCAATACAATACCTATACAATCCTACACTGCTGGTTTGTTCAGAGCCACAAAAACTACATAACAAACAGGTCGAAGTAGGTGGTGAAAACTGAAGCTTGTGTCGGAGCGTTGTCTTAAATCTCACCGCTTCAAATTCTGCTTCGTTTAAAAACTGATACACTGAGTTCTGCCCTTCGCTACTACCAATTCCCGAAACTGGAGCAGCGCTTGTATGTTTAAAAAATTTGCTTGAATGTTTAGCGTTGCGTAAAACGTGGTCAGGAGGTTGACTTCTGCAGACAGGAATAAAATCGGTTTCCAATAAGATGGCTGCATAATTCCATATGGATGAAACTTGATACTTTACTTCCCCTCATCTTGCTTTTCCTACTATCAGACAGGTTTTCCTAACAGAGAACCAAACTTGTTAACTCCTTCGCAAAACATAACCAAGAGATTTGGCAATACAAATACCACATGAACTTAAGAAGTTCAAAGATGGAAAAATTCGGAGGCAGGATACTTGGGTACCATACCCTAGCGTCTCGATCATGCGCTGCAGCAGGTCGTATTCTGAGGCGCCTGGGAACAGGGGTAGCCCTAGGAATAGCTCGGCAGCAACACAGCCTAGCGACCAAATATCGATGGCAGTTGTATACTGGTGACCAAGAAGAACCTCTGGAGATCGGTAGAAACGACTCTGCATGCAAGGACGACATGTAAAATATGTGAACTTACAATAAATGCAAGTTTTGAACATTTGCATCGATCAGGCACTGCAAATGTGGAGTGTCTTCTGTATTTATGCTCAAGAAGATCTGCACCCATACACAGACAGGTATATACTGTATGGTCAGGTAGGAGTAATCTTGATTACCTGTATATACGAATAGACTGTGCGATTTTCCGTACAAGCTGAGCCGAAATCAATCAGTTTAATTTCAGCAGCCTCCAAACTGCACAAAACAACGCACATGCTACACGATTGAAGACAAAATCTCACCACGAATAGTCTCAACTGCACTAAGCTTCCAACAGTGCACAAACAAACCTAACATGTCATACGGTGGTAGGAAAAACTGATTTTGCTGGTCACAACTACTAAGATAAAGGGCCCTCCTGCCAGGAAAGGTGTAGTTTGTTATTGCAGACAGCATTATATATCAAGGACATGAAACGACAAAAAAAGCCAAGATAACCTACACAATGAGAATTAGAGAGATAGGTATTTTTTAAGGTACATCCTTGATGTGTTGGTACTGAGCCTACCTCTGTAGCAGGATATTTTCCGGTTTCAGGTCACAATGTATAACACATGCATCCCGTAAAACCATGAGAGCCTCCAGCATCTGTTGCATGATCATTTGATTTGTCAAAGTCTTCCAACGCTAAAGTATGATATACCTCAAAAGAGCTTAATCAGAACCTGCGTAAATGCATTTTTGTATGGTGCAGAATCTGACCTGTCTAGTGAAACTCCTCACAAGTGTCATCGACAAACCCCTGAATTGGTTGAGCTTTAGCAACTCGAACCTGCCAAAGAAAAATCGTTAGTCAATAAGACCTCGGTGGAATTTTTATGGCGGATTCTACCAGATTACTTGGCGGCTAGTTCGATATACACTTGTCTTTACATGGCAGCTTCCAGCTCATGTGAACGCAATATAATTGAACTGAAGATAGTAGGGCAGAAGATAGGACGTATTACAAACACTTACAGGTTAGCTTGAAGAAGTTCAAAGACAAGGCACAGATGACCCTCGTACACGAAGTGGTCAAGGATGCGAACAATGTTGTGAGTATCTCGTGGATCATACTGGTGGTTGAGCTGAAAAATGGAGATTTGATTTTAATAAAAGCAGGAGCATAAAAGATTCTAGAACAATCAAATGATACTTGAAAATAGCATGAACATGCCAAAAGCTAAATATGATATCAAGTTGTTGTTCCTACACATGAATAGATCCTGAGATATGGATGCAAGTATGACATTGTCTTAAACAGCAGAGACAAAAGGCAAAGAATGATTCTTTTCTCAATGAAATTAAATTTTCTTCTATAAGCTACAAGCACTGCCCAGCCGGGATTGACCCCGAGTGGGCAGAAAGATCGGCTGGGTCAATGGCCCCAAATGTAAGAGGCGAATTTCAAGTGTACAGTTTTTTTTCGCACAAGTTGACATACCGGGTGCATAATGTAAAGTACGCTAAGGAATAAATACCATGTGGCAGATTCCAATTTCAACTTGAGCTTGATGAAAATATGCAGGCTGATTTTTTATCACTTTGACAGCAACATAATTGCTGGAATCATCGGTCCAGCACTTGCAGACTTGCCCAAAAGTGCCTTGCCCCAACATATCCTTCACTATGTACCTGCAATGTACATTCAACATCAGAACTCATACCAAGTTTGCCCGATACTCGTGGTCTCGGTTACATAATTTGCATCGAAACGAAAGTTTAATGGGGAGGATGCACCTGTATTGCACATTTATACAAGCACACCTCAAAACATTCCCAAAAACCCTCGCCCTCGTCTTCACCAGACTCACAGTTTCGCGGTGGAAAACAAACGAACGAATAGATAACCATAACTATGGACAGCATGATAATGTACAATTACTCAATAGGCGGCCGGGCTATGAGCTAATACCCTAAGGAGACGAACATACATGACAACTGGTGCAGGCCTCATAGTCTTCTATTGTTGCGTTCTTGCAATCCTCTGATGAGGAAACAGAGATCATAGAACATCAACTCTTTCCTGTAGTCACTACAGGAAGAGCTTGAATCTGTCTAGGCTCCAAAAGTGTTAAGAATGGGACATCATTGTGACGACATTACACTTCGTTTATTGGAAAAAAAGTGGTACAAACGATGAGGTCACATTGAGCTCCTTGCTGAAGTTGCGGCGTCAAAGACACAATCCTCTCTTTCTCAATTAGTTTCGTGTGGCATCGTTGACCGAAGACCAACGAAGGCATCTGAGCTACTGGACACTTCAATTCACTCGGATGTAACGGTTGGGGATGTCCCACAATTTCCCTGGCGAGGTAAATGAACACTCGGCGACCATACTAAACTGTACACGTCGAGCAGCTGAAGATAGATAAAAGTCCCAAGGTGAGAAGAACCCGTTGGCCTCGGGCAATCTGACTGAGAAGACAGGCCAGTGCACTTATGACTGCTTGTAACAGAAAAGATGGCACAAAGAAAGGAGCTAACCTGCGGTTGTAATCGGCGTTATGAAGAATGCCATTGACGTAAAGTATGAGATCCGAGTTCACATTATCCAGACCACCATTGGACACTCCCGTGGAAGGATTGGTCAAATATCGTTTGGGATTAAATGTGACGGAATATGTGAAGGTCGGGTTGCAGAGCTGGTAAGTCTCAACAACTTCTTTAGTCAACTTCACCACCAGCTGCAGAAATTGACAGAGACAAGGCCCACAATTCAGCAATATTATGTTCGTCCTCACTCAATTTTTCTTCATCTTACATACAATGAGGCATGAGAAACTCAAAAGTGTAAGTTCTACAACTACTTGGACATACCGCTACAAATCGCAAATTCCGTTCATGTGGGCCGTCCACACTCTTCTAATTGGAAAGTCGAGAGTGGTTTCTGGATGGTACCCAACTCAGGAATCACGAATTCAGGCCAGGAATACTTTCCTGACAACAGGCTCTTCGAAAACCCGGTGTATGCCAAGCCGACAATTGCGTACACGCACCGGAACTCATCAAGCGATGGTGTGAACGGGCTGAAGGATAACATCATGGAATTCAAAAAGAGCATCTTGGACAAATGCCCTCCTGAACGCTAGAATGCTAGTAGCCATAGCAAGACTAATCTAGAATCCGACGATGGACTTCGAGTGGCAAGGCTCCGGCAGATCAGGGGTCATGAGACCGCTAACATGCTCACTACGGCCAATTAGCACGCTGAGAAGCACGACGATCAAACTGGGGGCCATCAGGTTTGATGGGAGCTCACGTATTGAACCTAAAGCGGAAACATGGAAGCTGTCTCCGGCAGAGACGACGGATCACACAAGACTTCAGGGGGGGATGGGAATACGTACCGGACGGGTGACTACAACATGCAAGCCTGCACCTCCACCGCCCTGCATACCGCCAGTTCTGGTCCTCGGAGTGCGAGGAGAGAACTGGCGGAACGAGATAGCTCGGGGGATCCAGTGTACAGGCTCATGGGGGGAATCAGCTTGCAGGTCCCGCTCCGCTCGACTCAAGACGGAGCTCTCATCCTCATCACTGCAAGAATCACCATCGGGGGGCCGTCCCACGTCAATGCTTCCCATCGTTCAGCTCCTTTGGGAGCCCCCCTCCCCTACCGTCGCATGCGCCACAACGAGACACTCCCGTCCGCGACCTAACTCTCACTGCATCCCGACGTCCATTTCCATTCCATTTGCCCGCCTCCAGTGCAAGCACCAGAGAGTCCTCGCTGCCCTCGCGCACGATGCCTTCGCGTAGCGTCACTCGGTCGACAACCTCATCGGAGGCATTCTCGTTTGCGCACCCCACTGGCAGAGCCGAACCTTGGTCCCCTGATTTCCTGTACAACCCGAGGCTACTCCGCTATGGTCTGCCGCAGCAATGGCTGGCCGGGGCAGTCAAGACGCCCGAGCGAATGGATCCACAATCGCACCGATGACCATCGAGAGAAATGGACTCACTCCCGGCAGCAGCTACCGGGCCCTGCGACAAAGCCCGGGGCAGCGAGAGGCTAGGATAGCTTCCCACGACGGTGGGTCAGACTCTCGGAGACTCAGGCAGTAGGAGCGCAGTGAGCGTGATGTGAATGTAAGCTGGTGCGCGAGAGCCCCCAGGCCAAGGGCCAAGCGAAGTGCAGCGCAGCGCAGCGCAGCACACAGCAGCAGCAGCAGCAGCGCGAGATTGAAGCAGGCGAGCGCACAATCACTCCGCCTGTAAGGTCTGGTATATCGAGTTGTGCACAGAGCAGAGGAAGGTGAGCGGACCACGACAAAAACTAAGACCAGCACAGGGAAGCACCGCTCTCCCTTCCCTTCCCGTTCTCCGTTCTCCTTTCTCCTCGCCTTTCCTTCCCTCGGTTCTCTTCTTCTCCTCTCCCCTCCTCGGCGTCGCAGTCCCCTCCCCGCAAGCTCAAGCTCAAGCACAAGTACCCGCCCGCCCGCCCGCCCGCCAGCCCGTCCGCCCGCAGAAGCTCGATCTCGAATGCGTCTTTCGGAGATCCTGACACCAACCTGCCTGCGAATAACGTCAAATGAAAGCGCGAGTTACAGCAGCGAGCCCTTTTGGCCACCGGGACGACTTCTCCGACGACTACAACTACAGAGGGCACTCAGGCTTGGCCCTCCTCGCTCGCTCGCTCGCTCCCTGCCCCACGGGCCCCGGTTCCTCTTCCCTCATACTTCCGCACCAGCACCAACGACATCATCACCGAGCGGGACATGGACTAAAATAGGCGCGGGGGGTGCGCGGCCGAGGAGAACAAGCGCGCGGTTCGCACAAAGAACAGGGCGACCGAGGCCAGGAATGGAGGGGAGTCAGCAGGCTGCCCCGTCCGCGAAATTGGATCGCATTTGACTATTTTAGAACAGGACACTACTGCGAAGCAGCTGCGCTCGAAATCCCAGACATTCGCCTCTCAAGCGCAATGGCCCGCTCCCGCTCCCTCTGCCTCTCCGGAATCCGGGAATCTCCACGTGGGTCAGACGGGCGACCCCCCGCCCTCTTTGCCTGCGGGGGTCTCTCGGATCCGTCGTCTTTAGCGGGCTGGCCTCCGGAAACGGATAAATTTAGCACATTCGAACGAGGAGAGGCAGTGGGCACGAATGGCGGACCCGGCCCGGGCCCGGGCCCGGGGGGCACCGCCGCTCCACGGCAGAGGAACACACAAGGACCACCCCCCTCGATTGTAGGCCAACCCACGCACACGCAGCGCAGGCAGTCAGTCGGTCAGTCGGGCCATCCGCAGGACATCGCGTGCGACCGCCGGATTCTCTAGGGCCCGATCATCATACGAGCTTGCATCATTATTGTTTATGGCCAGATATCCTTCGAGCTCGATTTGTTCCGGAGCGCTGCTCGAGACGCAAGCAGGGCCGAGCGAATCTGCAGAGTGCAGCATTCGAGCCCAGATCTCCCCTCCTCTCGCAGCCAACTGAACAACGCAGCATGTGCTCGGATTCGGAGCAAAAAATCAGATTGCCCCTGAGTCGCCTTTCCCTCCTGCTACTCCCCATCCCCCATCCCCCATCCCCCATGTCCAATACTATCGACGGCGAGTGCCTCCGGCCATCTACAAAAGCGGATGGCCTCGAGCGGGTCGCACGGGCTATAGCTAGCTACGTCCGCGAGGCGGTGACATGGTTACTACATAATTTAGAGTACGTACCTTCAGATAGCAATGGCTAGTTCTGGAACGCCGCTGGCGACCGATTGCGTAGGAACGAGGCGGTCCACGATGTTCGTTCTCCTCGGACGGTCCGGTGTGCTTGAAGGCTTGGGCCTGCATGGACTTGTTTTGATGCGAGCCCTCGTCTCATGCCATGTCGAGAAGCATCCTCCACTTCCGGATACACGCCGTCAGAGCGAACCATAAAAGTGCTCTCGGTTTATATTTGATGATGATACTCCCTCGTCGAGGCTTGAACTGGTGGTTCCCATTTCACATTGCATGGCCTCCTGCCGTGTGTCTTTTGGTTGTGTGCGAAATTTGCGCAAGCAAACCACAACATTCAGATGAAGGAAGACGGAGGGAGAATTCCCGATTAGATAAGAAAAGGAAGAGATGCCCGAGAGAGTTGTTGTTGTTGTTGATGATGTTGTGGCGTTCCTTGTATTCTACGATGGGGCCCTTTTCACTGTCTCGTTGACAGTTTCCGAGGGTTGTATGGCTTCGGTAATCCAGCGACACTTGCTCTGTTGACTTACCAATGGTGTAGCTCTTTCGTGAAATATTACAGTCAAAAACTGTCAGGCCACAAAGACTAAATTACCTCCAGCACGATTGGGTTCATTTCCATCTATGACTGAAATTTTTAGAGCAAAGTCCTTTGCAAAGTCCTTTTATAGTGATTCGATATGACAAACCTTGCATATGTCGAACATCCTCATACAGAAGCTGTTGTCGGTTCGGGACACCGGGGGTTCCATAGCTTTTCTTGTATCGAACATTACGAATTGCAATATATGTTCGATCAAAATGTTTATATATTACGTAAAAATAGGAAGAAACCTCTCCCTATAAGACACTCCGTGTCTCGAAGGGTAATACATTTCTTCGCCTATACGGCCTACGAGGTATACATATATATTCTAAGCCACTGCTGTTTCTCTCCGACGACTAAGATTGTATTTTGTTGGTTCCGAAGTTCAATATTGTGAAGGTTGCCTCTAATTTAAATCCGAAGAAAGTATGACTTTTCTGTTTGGATCGAGAAGCAAAGAAGGCTGAGAGATTTTTTTGTATTATGGATATTTTCAAGGAAGAGATTGGACTGTGAAGATGTACTCTGAATGATGGATGAGGGCCAGGAACGAAGATGAGACAAGAATAATCATGTATGACAATAACACAAAGGAAAAAGATTTCGAAACACCAGCTTGGATCTACCAGGTCCATCCATTTGGGAGACAAAGAATATTTGTTTCTTGGAGCCGCTTCAGATGGAAACTTGTAATCTAGCATGTTCCCAAGTGATGACCTGTCTACTTGATTGGTAATTTTGGAAATAAATATATAATTATATAGTTATATAATATAAAATAATTTCTGTAGATAAGTGTTCACAAGAATTCATGCGTTATTGTGTTTTCCAATAGATCAAGTGCGGTTGTGGTTTTGTATCCACCTTCTGTGTATCTAGTCAACGAATGAGGACTCCGATGATGACTGTCGGAATCTAGTTTATCCTCGAGAAAATAACAATTTTTCTTCTATGCTTGGGGTGACTGAACTCGGCGGAATTGAAAAGCTATAAGATAAGTAAGTAATAAAGTCTGATAGTAATGACGGAACGACATGAAGTAGGATGTTCTATCTTACCAATATATCGAGTTTTAGATTCTGTCCACGGCAGGAGTTTTAGATTCTGTCCTAAGAAATATCTTATATTGTTATAATTTTAAAACGAATAACTTGAATATGCAACAAATAAACTTTTATGTAGTTCATGTAGATCAGTTAATACATTTATTACAAAACATTATGTGATAAAAAAACATTTGATCCTAATTATTTATGAAAAGCATGAGGCTGTGAGACATTATTCTTAGATGTTAAATATCTTATATTTTTTTAATCTACATCTGACTTTCTGAAACTGGACAAAAATATAGTTAAAATTCAATTCAGGAAAAATCATAAATAGAAAGCTCTGGAAGTTTAATCGATATTTATACAGCCTCATTCATTTGAACAGTTTTTTTGAGACTCGCATTCTTCTTTTTCTTCTTTCTTAATCTGCATGGTCTTTCGCGTGATAGACCACGACTATCTTTCTACAAATCTGGTAAAGTATTGAACAAAGACTTGAAGTGAAGAAATTCCTATTTTTTCATGTCTGATTGCACATCTCTCATCTTTATTTTTTTGCCATGATAAGTTGTGTACTCCCATCTTTAGCAAATAGTGCCCACATGGTGAGCCATGTTAACCCTCTAAGACATAACTTTTACCTTTTGATTGCCTCAATTCATCTTCAGAAATTGAGATTTAGGTTCTAAACTCATGAAACCTGGACTTTGAATAACATTCCTCATTATTTGCAACTCCAAGAGGGATGTATAACATCCAGAAAAATGTACAGATTTAGAAATCCCAATTGTATTGAATATTTGATATTTGAATATATTTTCAGTATAACGTTTAAACGTTTTTCTTGTAGAGGTTGTATTGCATCGTAGAAGATACTTCTCTACAGGAAGTTTAACTAATTTTATTTGGTATAAATTCTTCTAAAATCTCTTGGATGTTCATTTTGTGACTTGTATCATATTCACTTTTTCTACAATCATTTTATATAATCTGAAAGTACTCATGAAAGTCAATTTACGGATGTTTTTAGTGATATGATAAAACTTGGAGAGTGTGGATAAAATTTGGCTGTTGCTATATCAGATGTCAATAAAAAATGACAATTAAGTCATTTAAAAATAGTACAGTATTTTTTCGTATATTGAATTTTTTTTTATTTTCAAGATTTAAGTAACTAATTAGATGCATTTTAATATCATTTACACGTGTAACTTCACCATACACTAATATTCTGCGTGAAACTCCACAGTTTTTATTGCTTACCACCAATTTAGTAGAAGATCTATGATGCAAAGAAATACAACGTTGTTTGAATTTTGTCTATCTATCAAGATATTATTGTTCATGAGTTAGTATGAGATTATTTCGGACGCAATATTTACTTATATGATTACTGCCTATTAAAAGGAGTCAGTGGAATAAATATTAACTTATAAGAAGGTTCGACACAAGTTTCAATTGAATCAATTTTAGAAAAAAAAAATCATAATTGAAAGTAACAAACAATAGTCGCAAAAGTGGTTATTACCAATTTTACATGTGATAAGAATCAAGAGGAGATTGACAAATCATTTTCATAGACGGACAAGGAGTTTCATGAAAGAAACTAGATGTGATAATATAAGAGTATAAAAATTTCAAATCTTTATAGCTTTGATGTAGAAACCATAAAAAATCAAGATTTTTCTTGTTGATGAGAAAATGCACAAGATCATCTCATACTAAATATCAATACTGTGTAGCATATTTTGACAACATGTAAGCATTGCTTTAGAGCTATTCAAAGTTGAAACAATCAAAGTATGAATTATATAACACCTTATGTTTTTATCGTTTATGGAGTAGTACATCTTCATTGGTCATCATACAACACTAGATGTTGTATGATATAATCTTGAGTAGATTAATACTCAGGCGTAGCCCCTAGTTTTTACTTCAGTTTTCGTCCTTATACAGCGATATCGGAGGAACCTGCACTTTCTGTCTGTTTTGGTGGCAAGGATCTGTATCTGTATTAACGCTTGAACCTGACGATCTTGCTCGCATCAAAGATGAACTTAGATTGCAAACCTTAAGAGTCACATCGTTTATCTATTCCCTGGACTCTTCAAATAATGCTCATCGGTTTTGACGTTAATCATCTGCTCAGACACATGACATTCAGATTTTTTGCTATTACAAACGCATATCCATATGGATATGGCTATGTCACAAGGAAACATAGTGATGTGAACTGTGTAACAGATGTACTCGAGGGAACACACAACTATCAACAGATATGTGTTGTAAATTCGCAGAGCGCATGGAAGATGAGAACAAGCGCTAGCAATGAAAAGCGGGAAGAAGAACATGCACAACACGGGCTGTACATGGAGGCATGAGAGTGAAACATGATGTCATAAAAGAATGGGATCTGCGCTGCAAGTGGGCTCATTGACAGGGCTACAGATGCTACAATGAGAACCCTTCAGAGGCAATGAAGTGTCCTCAGATAACTTGGACTTCTCTTTCAACTGGGCTTCGTTTCTCTCTTGTTTGTCTACTCCTGGTGTGCAAGCCGACAAATCGCAGAGAATATCTGCTACTTGCATGCAGAATCATTTCAGAAGATCACCCACAATCCAGCTGCAATCTTCTGTATATTTATTTGCTACATTTGCTATACGAATCCGCTCTCTACGAAAGATTAGAATATGCAAATTGAGGGTTTGACCTTTCCTGATCTGGAAGAGATATAACTCCTCGCCGACGATGGACACAGCAGACTTCAGTATTCCACCATGTTTTATCACTTCTTTACCAATTTTTCCCCTTGCCATCTCGAGGCTACTGATTCTCATAAGTTTCTATCCCACAGTGTGGAACTTGTGATGAACTTTCCTCTACAGTTTGGATTTGTCATAGATGTAAAGCTCATGACTGGTGGTCCGGAAATTTGGATCACGAAGTCAACTGACAATTCTTATATCTCAGAAGGATTTTGGAAGATACGAAGGCTCGCCCGTCAACTTTGAAAATGGATTGTTTCGAACACTAGTAAATATGTGAGTGAAAGAGAGCTCGAGTTGTCATTATGTTATTGGTAATGTGTACTGAGCTTTATGATTACCTTAGGACAGCTCAACTTTTTAGCCCTAATCAGATACGTGAATTCGTAGGGAACGACACCCAGTGATAGGTGCTCTCTAGCATAGTAGACAATGCTCAGACGCTTTTGGTTCAGAAATCACTTATGAAACGAGCAGAGTAGGTACAGCCCATAAAACGACAAATTCCTGCTGAGAGAAGGACATTGCAAGAGTAATGAAGTCGTCTGATTTGATAGGCGGAACATGTGTTCTGCGGTAGCCAGACCTTTTGGGGACAGCATCTAAGATCTTAGCTGAAACTATGGTTCCGACTCTTTGTAATCAGGGATTGAGAAAATTGTGATCACGAGCTCTCGGAGCTGCTAGTGAGCATGATCATTGACAAGCCTTAGACGTGTGCGGTAGAATTTGCAGATAACAATTACCATATTTCGTCTGGTTTGTCAGCGATTCAGCTGCCTGCCTTCAAGCTCAGTGGATGAAAGTGCACATGTTCCGAATTAGGTCAAAAGTGCTTGTCAATGATGCGGGTTTGCTCCTAGTACAGGATCCTTCACGATATTTTACATGGAGTTCATTGCATTCGGAGACTTCTGGTAGCTGATGAACACTATTCCCGGCATAGGTAAAGAAAGACAAGCCACGAGGAATACTGCTTTCGAGAGCGGACAACAGCGAAGCAATTTCATGCCCAAGAAAAATGGAAAAACGCCCAGAACAGAGCAAGCGCAAATGACCAATACCGTTACCGAGTACGAATGATGCAATTCTAGAGCAGGTTTACCAAGATATTGGAAGGAGAACACTTTAAAGGAAACACTTTCGTAGCAAATCAATTTGTGGAAGGCATTGGGTTTGGAACATTTACACGTGATGTGAAGGTGTTGACAGATTCTCAATAGATTCGAATTCTCGAGCAATTCCAAAAAGATGAACCTCATTACTATCTCGCGAGAAGATTTTTTTTTCTAAGTTCTAACTCAGGCATTCTACATTATTTGTTAGTCGCCATAACCTTGTTGAACCTGCCGTCTTAATCTAGTTGAGTGTAGAGATTGTTCATAGGATGGGATGCAACTGTAGACAAAGAAAGAAAATTGAGACCTCATAAACTCTATTCTGAAATCGTCTCATTTAATGAAGCTTCCTTTCATGTTCATCATGCTCGCTGCTTTGTTCCAGATAGATCCGCTTCCATCTCATGTGATGCATGTGAGGTTTAAGCTGGCATTTCCTCAGTGACTTTACCAATTCGGGTAAGAGTTGACAGCACGCACAGCTGAACGCTCCGGAATAGATTGATTAGAATCACTTTGGACTATTTACGGTGAAACTCATATTTTAATGAGGCCATTTAATCCTGTTAATGGGCACGAAACATATTTGAAACTGGATCGTTAGTTGTATAGTACGGTTTTATTGAGTGGTATCTAAAGGATTCATGTAGCTTTGGAGTTCTGTCTCAGAGCAGTTTCCTTAGTTGGGTAAAATGGAAGTCCCAATCATCTATCCTGAGGTCAATAATGGATCGGGTCTCTAAAGATATTTGTTTTGATTTTTCTTGGACATTCTATCGAGTGGAGTCAAGCTGTTTGGAACCTTTCAGATCTCAATTCTATATCTCATGACCCGTGCTGTATAAAAATCCACTTTCTTCCAAAGGGTGGCAATCATCTCACTTCCTAGATGCTGCAGAGGAGTATAAAAATATACAGCATGAGCTGATCATTAATTACTTCGTCTCATCGGATAGAGTAATGTGCAAGACTTTCGAAGACGCAGGTGCATAGGGACCTTGAACCATAGGCTGCTTAGGCACTCAGTGCCATTGAATGGGAGTGTGGAGATTGCATCGAAGTGCCGAGGCCGAGTCCATAGAAGACTGAATAACTTTCGTTGTGTCCAGAGAGTGGACCTGTTTGAGAAGAAACCCAGACCTTGTATCTGGGCATAAGTCTTCGAAATCTGTACCAATTTATAACTTCAGATATGCAGCTTTTTCCAAAATATTGAGGGGATTCTAAGTGGAACTGTAGATTCAGTTGGGGGATTCAACAGGGCCCGCACTTGTGTGCTACCCAGCAGCATGAGCTCAAACAGCATGAAATCAGAGAACTTGGATTTGAGAATGTATATGCCATGGCTGAATGGCAGGCACATCACATCTGATTCCTTTTTCTAAGTGTTGTGCAGGACACGAGAAATGAAAGGTACTCCAGCTGCAGATGTTAAATGAGAATATACTGCTTCACCTTGCAATTTGTCAAGAAACATGACCTCTAAAAGCAAACCTTTCGATCGAGGAATGCTTCAATATGGAACATTTATTCAAACCAGCATACCACAATCGCCAGATCCTTATGGAATCATATATTCAGACGTGTAATCCGTCTAGGACAATAGAAGACAGTTGTATGCCGACTTGTGTCTGGCTTACAGTGCGAGAGCCCGAGATCTCAAAACAATGCAGGCCACATGCTGTGAGAAACTGAAAGTTCAGTCAGCAAAAATCACTTTCGTGTCAACGGACAGTCGTCGTGAATGTGGCCCAGAAAGGACTCTTTGTAACTTCGCAGTCGACCTTCATCGACACGCTTTTGATGTGCCATGCTTCCGAAGATGGAGAAACTTAGAAGTACGAATTTTGGTTTCAAGTTCAGACCTCCAGGAAACTTGATTACAAGATCCCATTCTTCAGGAAGTCGACGGGAAAAAGATGCTGGACAGGGTGGAGTCTTACCTTAAACTGCTTTCGTTACGTGAAAGAAAGTTAAGAATTTCGGCAATCGATGCGACAATCCAGCAGATTGTCTGGTTCACAAGCCTATTATTGTAGCGTGAAGTATATGCGTCCAACGAGATTTGAGGTGCTTCGTCCTTACAAAAAGTCACTGAGACAAATATCGTGCTTGAACCCTTGACGGCAGGAAGCCGGAAGTCCTTGCTGGAAGTAACCGGGCGTAATCAGAAGTATAATTTACGTCTTTCTCGCGCCTGGCCAGATTGGTTCTAACGCAAGCTTTCACATGTGTCACTTCGCAACACACAAGCTCCATCTGAGGCTAACAATAGTGTGCACCTTTTGTACACAACACCGCACTCAAATGACATTACGCGAACCGTGATTTGTGGGACGCGTACGGGTCGCATCCTCGTCTTCGCTCTGTACAGTCCCGGGTCCATGGAGTACACCTCCATCGTCCCGAGAGCTCCAGTGTGAGTGTGAGTCCAGGAGCCCCCGAGACGACGTAGAAATTAAGTTGGGTTGACTCCATCAAGAGTCAGGCCACGCTCTTACAGAAACTCGTAATACTCCAACCCTCACGCACCGTGAGCACACAATGGCAAGTCAGGGCTGCTGGTCTAAAATCGATCTTCTGACTCTAACGGAGTGAAGTTTCACAATTCTTCCAACATGCGGAGTGAAGTCTCTCTGCGCATCTTCGCAGAATTGAAGTGAAGCCGGGAATCTCGATGACTGTTACAGACTTCTGCACCGAACATTTGCGTACCTAGCAGGCCGATTGCACTCTCAATCCTCTCTGCCGTGTCCAAGAGCTACACAAAGGGATGCGACGTGGCGCTTACAGAACAATTCTTCGACTTTAGTCTGGGCTGCTAGAATGTGCTTCACTACGACGACATCAGATGTCGTCGCCAGGATGCCGAATCGAATTTTTATAAACGTCCGAGGGGCGGACATCGACATTCGATCGTCGGAGGAATCAGTCAGGAACCTGACGAGGAATGCGCATCCAGGGGCCGCCGGCGCGATTAGCTGACGACGTGAAAGGAGCCAATTACGACGTCGCGAATCCCTGTGGCTGCGTCGCGTCCTCGACGTACACGTCGGCACAAGAAGCACAGTCGCTGCGCCGCCGCAACGATCCGACATCCGCCGCTGCTGCTCGTTGAGTGGACTCGTGACCTCTGACTCAGCCCAAACGTGTTACGTCACGCTTGACTTGCCATGAGGGCAGCTCTTCCTGCGAAGGCGAACGCTTTGTCCACATTGACGTGCCTCCGTCGATGATGATGTCGACTTCGTCTTACGCCTCGTGGCGTCACACTCCATTCTGATGCAGTTCGCATGGGAGTGACGGGACGGGACGGGACCAAATCCTCGCTCATGGCTTTCGGTGTGACGGCGGATTTCCTCTTCTCCTGGCCCCTCTCGTCAGCTGCCAGAGCTTTTGTGTACAATTGCAGACGGAAGCATTCGGATCCAGTTGTACCCAAGGATCAGAGCTTTCTGAACGGAAATGAGATACTCTGCAGAAATGGAACAGGGGATTTACAGGTCTACTGAGATGTGCTGTGGATGGATATCGTTTGCAACTCGCAGGAAGTTGAAGATCATCATCAACTGCTTTTGGCCGCGACATGACGACAATCACCCGCTACCAATTATGGTCACGAATCTCTTTCTCTTTGGAAGCTGTCTAAGAGCCCACAATAGGTTAGAATTTCAATCACCCGTTGTCCGTGTCGACTCTCTACGTCCTGTCCCCTACATTGCTGCAGTGTAGTTTTCGATTACCAGAACTCAACAGAGATCAGTTCTTAGGACATTGACCTTAATTCCAAGCTTTGAACAATGACTGGAAGGTCGAATTCGGGTTACAGTGTGTTGAATTGGAGTTCCAACGTCGGTATGAAAGAGATGGATGAACAATCATCGAATCGCTGACTGCGGAAATTTCGAAGGCAAAGGCTTGAGCCTCACGTGCAATCAAATTCGTGGTAGCACAGCAATCACCATCACTGCAGCTAGAAAAGGAAAGCGAGGAGGTTCCAGGGTGTTGAGGTTGAGACATTGCGTGACGTGTAGATTAGTTCAATGTGTTTCTAGAGACTTGAGGGGTTAGATCGACCACAGGGGTCAGATTACACTCTCATATTCGGCTGATATAATGTTGTCATTACTGGGATTCAAGTCTGGTAATTGAGCTCATTAGCTTGATTGTCGTCTGTTGGCTGAGTTGTTCTAGATTCACGTTTCATTTGTCCAGTTTCACTGCAGGGAAGGTGTCTGAAGTGGGTTAGGCATTTGTGGAATCCGGATGAAGGTAAGAAATGCGGGGATTGTGAATGGGTGAACGCCCTTCATCGCCGATTCGTCGTCGGCCTTTCATCGACCTCATTGTCAATTATTTGATCGATGCCTTCAAGTGATGTTTCTTCCCGAGCTGAGGCTTTTGCTTCTTAAGGTTGTTACGTTGTCATAATTGTGGAGCTTCTGCAGATCTTTTCGAAGTCGAGGCAGTCTCAGTTTTATGACATCATTTTCTTCGTAACCACGAAAGTAATTCTCAGAAAATTCCATTGTTTTCTGGGTGGATGGTGTTTGCTGATGTATGTGATCGTGGACTCGAGGAGTTCTGCGATAGAGTGGGTCCAGTCTGGGCCATGGCTGATCAACACGACTGTGAATGACCAAGCTGCTACCACAAGAGCTTACAATTTTTCTACAACGATCGATATGGTAGTCGATTGATTAGAGCATAGAGCTAAGAAGACAAAGTCTGTGGAAAAGTAAGGGAAGAAGACAACATAAGGTTAGGACTGTAATTAGTGTTTTCTACCATATGAAACCTTGAAAGCTATTTTGATGTTAGTAACTTTTACTATTTAGTTACAGATGGAAAGGGAGAAATAAAATAAAAAATTGAAAATATTAAACCCATATATCTGATTTCAATAGAATCATGTAAAACTTGTACAAAATAATATAATAAATATTATAATAAAATTTTTGTATATTCTTTGTTGTATTGAATCTGATTACCAATGGATCACAATCAAGTTTTCTTAATCTGCTCCGAATATGCGAGAGCGTTTGACTTAATATCATATCTTCATCATTTTCTTGAGAAAATGACAATTTTCATCAGTACCTTCACCGACGACGGTTTTCAGACTATGAATCTCAGGTTCACTCGATGAAAGTCCTGATACTTTCATCCTTACACGAAAACCCCCTCTTACACTTCACAAAACCGGCCCATTTCTTACTAAGAACTTAGTTACATGAATGCAAAGAGTATACTTTCATGTTGTTCATTCGACAAATGGCTATATGTTGTTGTTCGACGAAAGCACTTGGTATATACTTGAAGAGTTTTCTACTAAATTACCCGCCTCCCCAGTTACTTACAAAGGTAAAGCAGCACGAATGAAAATAACGAGAACTGGAGGCTTTTCCTTGTGCACTGGGCGACATTCCATAACTTCGTACATAAATTGTACAGAAATGCCTCAGTGCACTTCAACAATAGATCGTAGCAAACGGCAATATCTTTTATCACATGCGCAACACCGCTGCTTGCATTTTAGTGCAGTTAGCACGTCTAAGGTGCTACTACTCATCTCCATAAATCTGCCCTATGTCCACAATAGGGCAGATTTATGGAGATGAGATGCAACATGTCCACAATGCAACATGTAGGTCCAACAATAAGCACACACGAGCATTCAAACTAGACAAAATGCACATAAGACAAAGGGCGATATTTCTAATAAAGAAAAAAGTTCCGAAATATAATATTTGAGCTATTCTGGTTTGAAATAATAGAATTTTTCGTAGATATAACTGATAAAACTGGCATGAACTGAAAACCATGACGTTCATTGGTGCATAAGTGAAAATATTATTTATATTCAAATAGAGAAAATATTCGTAACTCTGAAGTCGTCAGAGCCGTGTCAACGTTGGAGACAAAAGCGAACTGAATTCTAGGTGTAACTTGCGATTATTCCAACAGAGGACGAAACTTTGGTATACAGGTTGGAAGAACCACACGTATAATACAAGTGTGGCACTTTCACATCTGATGTCTTTTTCCGGCAGATGGAAAATTGCTGGTATTTGTCCATGGCCGTTCTCTCTTCGTGAGGTCTACGGCTCAACGTCCTTTACTAAAGGCAAGAGACATGAAGCCGATAAAGTGACGAGGACGTTTCCATTTGGTGTCAATCTTTGAGGGACAGGGTAAACTCTGGTGTTTACAGTCCCTCGTACAGCCAACTCAAGGCAATCATTAGCTTCAGTGCCAACACCGTGTAAATTGTCTCAAAACATGATATCAGACATGATTATCGTTGTGGGGAGTATAGGGTAGATTGTGATAGTGAGCTTAAGCCCAGGAGCAGCGAAAGTCCTGTGCTTACAAGTGAAACATTTGGGTTGTGCTCCAGCTTCGTCGCACTTGGACTCGGAAGCATGTACAAACATTTGCTGGCTATCCAGAATCTCAACGAGAGCTAAATGAAGAAGAGATCATCGAAATTTTAAACTCTAAATGCTAGTGATCAACGAGATTCTCTACATGGGAACTGAATCCAGGACAAAAACTAAACAAAGGAGAAATCTCATTCACCCTTCGAACATAACAGTTACATTCAAGCAATCACCACAACCGAACGCTCTTCGGAATGAAAATGCAGACGAATTACAATCATACTTCTGGGTTATGGCGTAAAGCTGTAATTTACAGGCATAACTAAACGAAGAGTGAACACATGAGTGCACTTCTCAAAAATGACGAGACATTGATCGGAAACAATGGTGTAGGGCTGAAATCTCTATAATTACAATGAGAAGCATAACCAGGAATTACGTCGGTACATAAATACAAGATGTAAAGCCACCTAGTCTACCATCTCATGCAAAGCACACTATCTCCAAGTTCAGTTTCAAGTACAATTACCTCGAGACCCTGCTATTTGGGCTCTCGCTGTCCGTGGATGTTTGAGAGTTCCACTCGTCAACTTCCAGCAGACCGTTTCTATTAGTATCAAACATTCTAAAAATGAGATCAAGCTCTTTCTGGCGCATGAAACGTGAAGAGGGATGTGATCTCAAAACATCCTGGAATTCTTTCCGAGTGAGGGCCTTGCCTGCCACTTCACGAGCGACAGACTGAATAATGTCATCAATGCTGTCAAGATGCTGCAGCAAGTCACGTAAACCAGCAAGATCCTGAGCGCGACGTTTGTCGACTACTTTGGGCCATAAGCGAAATCCCACCAAAATCCCCGTACACAGTGCCAGGGGTGCGACGGAGGCACAAGCTACAATTGTGTAGAACAAGGTCGGATGATCTTCGAAACCGCTGACTAAGTTCATGCCAAAGAATGCTGCTGGGAGTGTTGCTAAACTGATTGAGAGGGTGGAGATACTGATGTACAGATTCATGCGAATGATTCGATTGCGAGTTGTATCCAGCCCAAGCTCCCAAATTTCCTGCGCTGCTTCCATGCCCTTTCTGAGCTCTTCCAGCACACCTCCTGCATCGTCGACCTCTCTTTGGTAAGTGAGAAGCATGTCCGCAGCTGCCTGCCGCAGGTGGTGATGCTCTTCTCTTTCCCCTGGACTATTAGTTCGGTCATGCTCAATTGTCTGAGTGACCTCCGGAGACCTTCCCGGTTTGCACAAGCACAGGGCAAGTAGAATATCATCACTGCGCAGAACCTGATCCATTGCCTCATGTGCATCCCTCACATCGTGCTCCACCTCAGTCACTGCTCTTCTCAAAGGCAGAAGCCTCTGCAACCCACCCATGCTGACATCGTCGGTCAGCTCCTCCAACATTCGCTCGACCACAAGCTTGAGTCTGTCCACCTTTTGATGGAAGAAATTACTCGTCTCCTCTAGCAAGCATTCCAGCATGCGCAGGTGAAAAGGCATCGAGTCCAATAGAGAAGAAGGTTTTTGTCTGGCTTCTTCCGCCAGAGATTTGGCGAACGCATCCCTCGCCCGATGGATATCAGCTGCCCCGTGACCACCACTGAAAGACCCACTCGAATTTATGTCTCTAGATGTGCGAGGGTGGCGTGCATCGAACAGAAGAACATGATCCTTGCAGACAATTGCCCTCACGTTCTCCATTCGCACCAGGACAAGTTCATTCCGCACGGCTATGGTGGCCCTCTGAGGAATAAACGAACTGCTTGATAAGAGATCGATATCTCGTGGGTGCAATCCCAGCTGCGATGTACTGAGCTCAAGCGGCTGTAGAACCCCATGTCTGTCAACTCGTATCACACTGTACTTCACTCCGCCTTCCAGTGCAGAAGGCTTGTCACCATTCTTGTAGTTCCTTCTGATCACACTAGGTGAATAGCGATGATCTTGTTGGTCGATGCGTCTTAGAGTCAAGCTCTTCTGGCCATGCTTGGCCCAGATCCAGGCCTCATGTTTCAGGTTCTCCTTCTTTTCGCGGCGTAGACTTCCAGCTAGAGGTTTTAACCATGAAGCTGACCAATATCTGAAATTCGAGATATCTAAATACTTGTCTAAAGATGCCAACAGTCGGAGACTTTTTGTGTCCACCACAGGTGACTTGACGGTGGGCTTTTCATGTTGAGATATGCCTCCTTTGGCTCTCGAAGACGAAAAGTATGATCGACTCAGCACCCCGGTGAATGCAGGGGTGCGATTCCCGCTTTCTAAGGTAGCGAGTCCGTATTCAACATAAACAATCGATTGTAAGCTTTGTTGGAATATAGCCAGCCTCGATAATCTCCCAGCCATTTCTCAAAGCCTATCCAGCACAGATACGACTCTCATGAAACGAATTGCATGAGTGACCCTCGTGATTCTCGAATTCGACGATTTCCAGCTCGGAACTGCGCTTGCTGAAAACCAAGAGGATATCTCTGCATCCAAATTTGCACTTCTTGCAAAAGTGAGGCGAGAGGCTTCGGGATTGTTTCTCACAATATCAAAATCGAATTGCTCAAACCGACAGCTGCAAAAAACAGTACTCTTCCTTGCACCTGTGCGTGGAAACATGAGAGATCAACTCCGATCTCTGACAATGTGGCCCTCGCCTCATTTTTCATGTGCAGTGAAAATCAATATATAGAGGACTGTATATCCCCTGCATCACAAACCCACACCTCTTTCCTGCAGCTGGCGATAAACCCAGCTGAACGCATTTTCTCTTATCCTACATTTGGCGAACAATGAAATCGCGGTCAAAGAATCGCGTGAATTGGGCTGGGCTGGACAGTTCCACTTGCCTAATCTGAACAACCCAGAAATCATCCGATCCACCCATTGGAGTGTCCAACTGAACCCTAGTTCCAATTCTGTGAATCCAGCCGCTCAACATCATGCAACAATCGAGCACTACTGGTTCCGGTCACTTCCTCTGGGTCCTCTGGCGAGACCTAACATCTTCACACGGCATCCACCTGTAGGTCCTCAAAAGTGCATTTTTGGCTCCAAGAATTCCACTGTGACTTCCATTCAGCTCAGTCGTAGCGATGACAGGATTCGAGCAAATCAGATCGTGAAATGTGGCAGTGACGCTGGCCTGCTCTGAAGATTGTTCGCCTCGAGCACATTGAATTCTGCAATGCAAGCGCCACGTGCTCCCCATGAGGAATTGCGCTTTCCGCCAAAGAACACAACGCCCCTCCACGACCAAAAGTCTCATTGTTGGGCCCCATGGCAATCACCTTCAAGGGAAATGACTAGCCTACAGTCTACTGCAGATTAGAGTACTGTATTATATTATATCTTCATTTAGAGCTCTTAACACCTGTTTAGCTCTGCCTCTCAGCTTAAAGGCCCACAGCACCGAAGTCAAGGTTCCCTTCGGTATTGGAACTGAGTTTAGATTCTTTGGCGTAGTATCAACATACGTTGATATTCGGAGCTATGTTTTCTTCTTCATGTGGTGACTTTTGTGATTACTGGGTGGAGAAACGCGACGTTGACCGCTTTTCATCGATACTGACTGCGTGCTCAGCTCCATTGCCGAGCGATCCCCAGTGATAATTTCTGGAGATAGTTATTGTAAGAAGAGTGATCTTTGTGTGACATCCTTTGAGTTACTTCGGGGATTACTCAAAGGTCAAATCATTCATTCAATTTGGTTTTCAATCCGTTATTTACAGGTAATTGCTAGATAGTTTCTTAGGTTTCAATAATCTGTTGGACTTTTTATTTTTTATCGATGGAATTTGCGAGAAGGAAAATCTAAACTCTTCTGATACCCTTGTCTTGTCACTTCCTCCTCAACTGTAAACCCTAGTTCCGGATCTGAATGCAACATCTCGGATAAATAAAGCAGAACGTACTGTCTACTTTACTCTGCTACATAGAAAACGTCGTCGTCGGTATTGTTCCATATGTGCGTGTGTGTTTTTATAGATTTACAAAGCATATAATCATTCCCGAACAACTCCCGAAGAAAATTATATTCGTCCAAGTCGATAAGTGGCACAGAGAGCTGAAACTGACAGATCATAGCTTAAATCATGGTGGCATGTTGGGCTACGATCAATTAGAGTATACAATAACCACAATCTTTTCTTTCATCATACTTTAACTCAACTGCAATAAGTCTGTATGTCCAACATTGATTTACTTCTTTCTGTTTCTTGCGATGTTTATGAATTAAACTTCCAAACGTTCCATTCAATTACCAAGAGATGGACTAAAATTGATGAACATTACAACGTTTTTTCTATACAACGCATTATAATTGCAGTTTAAATCTTTGTGAGAACAAAAATGGTTTTTTTTTACCTTTGAAATAAACTCAATAATGTCAATGATTAATAAAAGTGATAGTGATAGTGAGAAAACCACCGACAGCCGCAGCGCTCATGAACGGCAACTGTTTAAAGAGCTCCTTTGAGCGAAAGATTGTTCTACACTTCATGGATTCATTTGATTGTGGATTGGATATGACTTTGTTCCCATGACTTAGTTCATAATTCTGATTTAATTTCTATGTAGTTCACATATTATGCATACAATTCCTTGATGTGTTTAAATCACTTGATCACTATGAATACAAGAATTTGTGAGATGAAACTTGTAATTTTATTAAACTTATATGTATGTATTTTATCAAGGAAGATGTACACTATATACGATCCTGAAAACAAATCGTCCTTGGCAGGAATCCATGGGCATTTCGTCTTGTGGTATGATTCTTGATTAGGGTGCAATAGGTCCCGAGATCAATTCTCGGAATGCCCCCCACTCGCGCACTTAAGGTGCACCATTCATCAATGAGTGTCTAGGGTTGCATTGCGTTTTTCAGTCTTCTCACCCTTTGGATCCAACGGGCATGATTTACTTACCATTTAACATTTCATGGACTTATTAGTTCATGGTATTTTACATCGATTACATTGTGTTGTCTTGCTAGATACTTTATCCTTTTCTTTAAACCTGAAATATTTTGTACACATATTAATATTTACAGATTATGTAAGGATAAAAACCTTGATGAGTACAAAAAATCCATTTTAAATCTTTATAACATAGTTGATCATATGTCTGTCTGATTTGCTTATTATAATGTAAATAGATAAATATTTTATGTATTTATATAAAAATAAGAGTTTAGCAATTGTGTGAAATTATCAAATTATATACTTAAAAAGCGGGAAAAAATCTTCATACATATATGATTCAAATAGATTTGACTATAAATACATCTCACCATAATATATCTCGTGTTGAGATGTGTATGAGAAAGAAATGGTTCCACACTTTTATATGTATTATGTAATGTTCACACGTTTTTTTCCAACAATATTATAAGATCCATGATAAAAAATGTATATGAGAATTGTGATATTCAGTATGTCATTTTACTTTCAAGGCCAGGAATCAATAATTGACAAATGTAAAGAATGAAAGAGGGACACTTTTGTTCATTTAATGTATGACTTACTGGTATTGTTGCTGCAACTAATATCTTCCAGATTATGTTGGACACATTTCAACTAGTATTTCAAGGTTTGAGTGATACAAGAGAAATATAGTTCACCATACTTGTTTAAAAGTAAATCGAAGATAATTATAGTTGGGAGATGAACACATATATGTATACATGAATAAACCTTCACCAAGATATATATTGCTATTAAATAGAGCGATGCATCTGCACGGTAACATAAGATTTTGGCCTCTAATGTGGAAAGAAATATTGTTTTGATGGATGATGTTGGTCCGAGGCTATGATATGACAAATTCCACGTGCGGTATATTATAGAGCTGATGTTGAATAGACACAAATATATGTTAGTAAATATTATATTTTATATTACATCTAATGTATCTTTCATGTAATTAAAAATGTCAAGCATTGAATATTTCACATGACATTTTTAAAGTAAGCGTGGATTTAACGAAGGAAATAATAAGGTTTAATTTCCCATGTTCACAAAACTTATGAGTCAATTCGGTGTTTCGTGTAGCTTGCTTCGAAAAAATTGGTTCGATAGGAAAGATGGAATAATCATGATGGGAATCAATAAAACACTGTCGGTTTTCCGCATAGGTCCACACAATGACTTCAGCAAACATGACCGAGAATGTGATTCGGTCTGCATCAGCTGGAGGAGTGGAGCGGGGTTAGGGTTGGATTAGAGAGGAGACCATAGGCAATGGATACATGATGCGCGAATTTCATGTTCTACGTGACGCTGCACTTTTTGGTCGTTCTGTGTGACAGTAACGAGGAGGGAACTAGGTGCTATGGCGTCGGGAACAAGCAGTGTCCCGCAGTCAGCCGAGAGAGAAATGGTTGACGATAACGAGGAAGAAGTTGAGGACTGGGAAGACTGGGATGGCGATGATGAGGAGCAGGAGGAACTAGAGGAATGTAAATGCCTGTTTTGCGATGAGACGTTGACTTCTGCCGCGTCTGTTTTCGTTCACTGTGCCGAGCAGCATTCGTTCGACTTCGTGCAGCTCAGACGAAGCCAACGCTTAGGGTTTTATGATTGTCTGCGCCTCATCAACTATATTAGGTCCAAGGTAAGAATTCTGTGGAATGCCGCTTGTTTAAAAATCCCTTTTTCCTCGATTATACTTAAATTACGAATAAAAGTTGAGGTTTATGTAGGGTTAGACAGATGGAAGTGCCAACTGAATTTGAATGCTGAGTCCTACTGTTAGTGGGGTTTCCATTGTATAGCTGGATGTGTTTTTCCTCGACCAAAGTCAGCACATGATGGTCTTGAAAAATTTCAAAATGCGGCCGTCACCAATTTCGTTACAGATCGTGGCTCTCATTTTTCTGGTCCACCATCTGTTTAGCTTCTCCAGCCAATTTCTGTGAGTTGAATTCCTGTATGTGAAACAATTTTCGACTCAGGTGTTTCATCCTGCTCGTTCTAGTTTATTTTCTTTGGAATCATTTTCAAGATAAATCTATGGACTATGGAACTCCCTATTTCGTCTCCAGAATTTCCGTTGTTTACGCTCAGCGATTACTGCATCTGAGCGTTGTTGGTTTCTTCAGTCAACATGCGATGATATTGCTTCTGTAACGTGTCCTCGTTTTGGCATGAGTGCGTTAGGCTCTCTGCATCTGCGTGAGATTTGAAAATTCTGGGTTGCAAATCATTTCTGTGGCATGAAAAAATTTCAGGAGCTTTGCAGCTCTTTTAGATTTTGGAAGAAAATTGCCAAACTTTAATTCCTTATTTGAGTCTTGCATAATGTGATTGATATTTCGCTAGAATTCATAATTTGCTCATTGGCCAGTGTTTCATGTATTGACACGGATCATATCGTATCTTGTGCGGGCAAAGGTAGCAGCCAAAACACCACGCGATGCGCTTTTGGAAGATTTGAGAGCTTCTACAGGGACCGAAAAATCTGAAGAAGGCAAAACTGCACAACATGTGGCTGGATTCCCTTGGAGTGACGACAAGTTCTTGACTCCATTCTTGCCTAATGATACACTGCTCTATACATTCGATGACGGGGAAGAAGAGGATTTTGAGGATTTGGAAACAGTGGTTAAGTCAAAGGTGATAGCAGAAGGAGAGGGGACTAAAATGGAAAGCAGGTCGGACAAGAGTGATGACTCTGTAGTTGCAGAGCTGTCGGACGGTATCAGAGAGCTTCTGTTAACAACTACCCCTGAGATTGCAGCTCATGCATCAGCTTTACTTGCCGAGGAAATGTCAAAAGCAGAGAATTCTCAGTTGATAGACGAGGCAGATATTGATGATGACCGAGCAAGTGATGGCGAAGTTGCTGCCAACCGGGATCTTGTGAACTTCAATGATGTTGCTAATGAGCCCCGTGACGCTAACGGGACTTCTGTTAGTTCGGAGAGTGCTTCTGAAGGTAAACTGAGAAAAAAGAAGTCTAAGGTTACTTTCGCTACTGTGGCTGAGAAGGAAAAGCTCAACATCAATCGTTCTTACTTTGGTTCCTACAGCGGATTTGGTATACATCGAGAAATGCTGGGAGATAGAGTGAGTACCTACTGATAATTGTATGTTTGAATCGCTTGATTGTCTGTTGAGCTCTGTGGACTTCATAATTAGGTTTGTCCATTCAATGCAAACTCGAGATTTGGACCTACAAGGAGGACACGTAGTTCGTTATGCTGAAATCACTTACCATATATTTGATTCAGTTTCTTATGACTCTTCTTTAAGCATGCATTAGCTGTCACCTATGAGCTAGGGAATCTGAAATTTGTCTATTGCATTCTCCTTCTCACGCCCGTATCTTATGATTGTTGGCATTTTAGGTACGAACGGAGGCATATCAAGCGGCCCTCATGGAGAATCCTTCTCTTATCAAAGACGCTGTTGTGATGGATCTGGGATGTGGGACAGGGATTTTGAGGTGACCATTTCATTCTGGGAGTTCTCCATGAAAACGTTGTGTAGAGGGCTCGCATGCTCTAGCCTTTCTTCTAATTATGGACTAGATAATACTATAGTTCACTTAAGAAAGACTGGGCTTCACATCGATAGTTTCCATCTAGGTTGTAGTTGCGGTCTTACGTTTTTTTGTCCTGCTTTTATGCATCTTAAATGTCTTTCCACTTCTCAGATGTCTTTGTATTTCAGAGTAGGACAAGGAAATCATGAGTACATTTACAAGTCAAATTGAAAGTAATTCCATACACTATTGATCCAAGCTGTGGCAATGTCGAGTGCACCACTTATCAATAACTCTGACGGTAGTTTCTCACTCCATTAATATTGGATGCATTGCGCAGTCTTTTTGCAGCCAAAGCAGGGGCAGCGAAGGTGATTGCTGTTGACGGAAGTGAGAAGATGACAGCCGTAGCCACTCAGGTAGTCACCTCTCTTGCTTGGGAGACGTCAAGACAATGTCTTTTGTCAATCTCCTTTTCTATGAAGACCTTATTGTTCAGCGTAATGTCGATTTCATTTGAAAATATGCGAAATTAATAATTATTTTAATACATGTCTGACTACTAGACAAGTCATGGTGATGGTTATCTTTTTGCATCCTATCTGACATGCCTTGGTCGAGCTCGTTCTGTGTTTCAAAATTGCCTTTACAGAAGTAACATGTCAATGTTATTTTACCTGAAGTTCTTTGAGTTTCCCATTTTCATGTCTCACTTCTTATACGACTCCACATGACTTTGATTACCAGGTTGCAAAAGTCAATGGACTACTGGATGAGAGTGCTTCAAACACGGAAGGGACGACTCGGACTGGTGTGATGACTGTCGTAGCGGGCATGATTGAAGAACTAGATTCGTCGATGCCAGTAGCTGAACATAGCGTTGACGTGCTAGTCAGTGAGTGGATGGGATATTGTCTACTATTCGAATCCATGCTCGGTTCTGTCCTTTACGCCAGGGATAAGTGGTTAAAGCCAGGTGGAGCGATGCTTCCTGATACGGCAACCATGGTATTTTCTGAAGCAATTCTTACGTTTGAGTGTGTCACATGTAAACCTTCTTGAGTTAAGTTCAGGTTTGCTTGTAAGAATGGGTTATGATCTATGTCAGATAGTTGTGGCTTCTAATCAGTGCCTAGGGTACTTAAATGGATGACTCTGTCGTTTTAATGTTATGTGACTATTATTCTTTTTATGCATGTTTTATTCGAATAAGTTATTAGAAATAGTAGAACTTGTTAGCAGTTCTGACGGGACTTTCTGGACAGTTTGTGGCAGGTTTCGGGAAAGGTGGCACAAGTCTCTCATTCTGGGAGAACGTGTATGGGTTTGACATGCAAAGTGTAGGTGAAGAAGTTTTGTATGATGCAACGTTACATCCAATTATTGATGTAATAAACGCCAAGGATGTGATCACCGATTCATGTCTCATCAAGGTAAAGATTCGTGCCTTTGTTGTTTATTTTCAAGTGTGTTCACATTTTCGATATCGGGATTTAACTGGACGGACTGTCAGACAGTCCACTTGCTTGCCAACATTGTTTTATACATTTGTATACGTGGTCATCGACTATAAAGCCTTCTACATGTCCATCTTGATCAATGCTTGATGATGTATTTTCTTTCCACTTTTTTGAACGTTGCTTTCCATTTGCTATTTTATTTTCTGTCTTATCATCACTTATCCTGTGGATGCTCATGTTTCGAAGGATACGTAATTCAGCTTACTCATGCTAGTTTGCACTTCATGTTACTCAGTAATTGATGGCAGTTAAAGTATTCATATCGTTTGTGTACTGCTTACTTCTTAAATTGTCTTAGACACAGACACTCCGAACCTTTAATGTCTATAATGCACTGAGTGCTTTCATTCACATAGCACCAATGTTACTCCTTGCTGCCACACCTGGTCTCTCCAAAATTTTAATCACATGTTCTAACTGAATGAATGATTTTGCAGGAATTTGACCTTCTGAGCATGAAACATGAAGATGTTGATTATACAGCGGATTTCCACGTAAAGTTACCAAGGAGGAAAGCACTTGAATCTGATGGAACAGGTTCGACACAAGTAGATGATTCAAGCAAGATTGTCTGGTGTTACGGTTTGGTGGTATGGTTTGATACGGGCTTCACTAGCAGATTCTGCAAAGAAAAATATGTGAACCTGACAACTTCTCCGCACACACCAAAAACTCATTGGGCACAGACTTTGCTGACATTCAAGGAGCGAATCGCTCTTTGCGTGGAAGACGATAATCTGAACCTTGATGGACTGGACAAAGATACAGTGGGATCAGAAAACTTTCCCGCTTACAGCATAAGTGGACGCATCAGTATAGCACGGAGCTGTAGATTTCGTAGTATTGATATATCTTTGGAGACGAACGCTTCGGGAGCAGGAGGCGCTGTGAAGTCATGGCCAGTGCAAATGTTTGACATATAGTTTCAATGAGACAGGTACTACGATGACGGTTGTTTATCGTTTGTTGCAACCCTTTGTAAATTACTTGCACCTTCTTGAGGTGAAATTTTTGACACATACAAGTCGTAGTTGAGGTATTGAATTAAGAATCTAATTGCATCAGGAGTTTTTATTAAGCTGAAGCATGAAACTGAGGCTAGGCCCATTATGGCCTTGTTATAAGTTATAGATGATGCAGTGCAAGTCTGCATTGTGTGATCAATCATTGATTCTAGTAAAAATCATGGATCTTACTCATATGAGTGTCTTTACAAGGCATATGTTGGAATAAGTTTGTGAGGAAGCGTAAGCCTACAGACCCCTACGTATCAAATATAATACTTTTGATCCGGGGTTCATATACCAAATCAATTGTTAGTTGATAATCATAATCTTGAAAATCCAGTTGTATCTTCAGTTAATGGACATCAAATCATCCCTTCGTCTGGTCCATTAGATTGTTTGCCGATTCTTGTAGATCCTCAGCCAAGTTAAGATGTGAACCACTATTTAGAATATCCTCCCCCGATTCGACGTGATTGATGTGAAGCATGTGGTTCGTTGTGATATACTGAGGTTTACTGTTTTGTATTTAGTCCATTTAGATTCCAGAACCTTTTCACACGTGGAATATTAGGTGTCACTACCTCTTGTTTTGACCTCAATGTCAGCTGAGATTACATTTCTTTCTCCTGAAGTACCTCATGATAACGTGAAGGGTCTATGATGACTTCTATTTAGCATATGTACTAAGGTCCATGGGAATACACAGTTTTGTCTTTGCTTGTCCTCCGTCGCCTGTGGCAGGTCTCAGCGAAGTCGTCTGCAGTGGCGCTGGTGTTTGAGAAGATCTTCAAGAATGGAAGTTGCTTTGTGTAAGTTCCGAAACAATTAAAAGTTGTGAATGCCATGAGACAGATCTAGTGATAAATTCAGTGGGGGAAGCTGGTCCGTACACCCACGTTGGATCAGGCCAGACTTTTTTAAAGCTTGCTATTCTGTAGGTCCTGTGTATAAGTCAGTGGGGTGGAAGAAATATGTACACAGTCGTTTCACTCGTGTTCAAGGGTACCAACACGAGGACTCCGAACGGAGTCTTGACGAGTTTTATTCGGAGAACGAAAATTTTCCGATTCTCTATCATCACCACGCACTTGTTTATTTCACTTTCCACTGCTCTTGCTCTGTGGTTCTGACCAGACAGTCAAAGAATCCCGGAAATCTTGCCAGAGAGTAGTCTTCAAGTAATAGCTTGCTCTCTTTTACAGCTCTTCCCCTCTACGGACCTGGACTCGAAGTTTTGCATGTGGACTTTCGGGCTCAACTCTGTAATAAAGTGAACTATTTTCCAGTTTCGGAAGAATCGTTCTCTATCTTTATGCAAGCAGTAAAGCCCTGGAGACTTTCAGGAGTAAGGAAGACAGTCTTTTGACTGCTCAAGGTTCTTGATGTGTACTCTCTGTCCTGGGTTGGGGGTGGGTTACAGTATCACAAAAGGACAGGCCGATATCTTGGACTGTAAGAGAGTGGCGTCACGGCTGCGCCGAGGGGAAGCGACAGTGAAGTTGTTATGATCAGTAAGATCATTGACATTGTTGGTTCTGAGAATCAGGGATCAGGTTTTGGACTAGGCTTGCGCCAAATGAAGAGTCCACTGAGCGCAGACTAAGAGTATCTAGTTTCAGTCCTTCGAAGGCCCGCAGGCCGTTTAAGTATGACCTTGTTGGCCAGACTCGTCAGCTTCTTGTCAGCTTCGAGGAACATGGTGAAGGCGGTGCGATCGATCTTGGCGTTTTTCGCAATCTTTGAAACAGGCTGCGGGCTTGCTTGGCTTCGAATGGGCCCATCCCCTCTGTGTCCTGCACAATGATGTGTCCCATCCCGGCCAACTCGATGCCGCACTTATTCCCTCACGAAGCTCGAGCGTTTCTTCCCGATCTTCTCCTGGCGGACTGGTACTGGCTTCTGCAGGTCCTCGGGAACTGCACAACCACCACCAGTGGGATTCGCGCTGCAAGCCTAAATTTATTGGACCAGTCCCCGCGTAATGTCAAAACCCAACGCGCTAGAGTAAAGTGAATATGCGAACTCAATCATCAACATAGCGGCATCTGCAGGGCTCGGATGGGGCGGGTCCCGGAGGTTCCCTTCCTTTGACGAGGCGCGCCTTGTTTCCGTGGGACCTGCCGCAGGCGAAAGTTCTCTCACCTTCTGATTGTAATGGAATACCTGCCTGTCTCATGCAGCACGGATAGACTGGATAGGGTGGTTGCGGGTCGCGTGGGGTCAATGCGAGTGAACGAAAGTTTGCAGTGCAAGATCGCAGTGAAAACCCCAATCAACCGCTGCAGCAAACTTTCCAAACGAATAGTCTATGAATGAATGAAGTCATGGGAACTCGGAACCGAGGTCCGGTAGCTGTTGTTCATCCCTACCATGAAGCAGCTCACCGCTCACACAGTGCAGTAACCAACATTCCGATCCTGACAAGAATGAAAACCAAATGTCCCGAAGCACAGCAGCGATATCCGGAGGAATCGGAATCGTTCTGTGCAGTCAAGATTCAGGGCATGGAATCGAAGTGGGCGAGCGTCGCATGGACGAAAGCAAGGCCGAGAAAGAAAGTAAGCCTAAGAAAGCCTGTGAAAGCCTGCACTGTCAAAACAGACAAGCCCCGAGGCCATGCCCGTGCAGTACGGGTCCGTGTTCGGGACCGGCTGATCTCATACCCCCGTGATCACAATGGCTCTCTGTGGCCGCTGCGGGACCGCGTTGCCAAAGCGCAGAGGGTGGTGGGCGAGGCCGAATCAGGTCAGGAGTGTCAATTTCTGACAGAAATCATTTGGTTCATGTCGAGTTACATGCACCAATGGACGAATGTTCGTGCGTGTGTGTGTGTGTGTGTGTGTGAGAGAGAGTGAGAGAGAGAGAGAGAGAGTAGTACTCGAGAGATTATGTCAAAAGGTGGATGTGGCGTGATCATCTTAGGCTACATGTGTTAGTCAAAGCACTTGTGGTGGCTTCACAGAAAACATCAGTTAGCGGTCAATCACGATCGCTGATGGTTCGGATGAGCTTTTGTTGGTGCGGAGAGTCCAGTCCAGGACGTAGGACACATCATCGTCCATGGCGACGAGGCCGGAAGCCGGCAGCAGGTTGACCCGGGGGGGTTCATCCGCGGGCGATACGAGGGGGCCCTGAATGGAGTGAGCCAAATTAGCTCGAGGATCTTAAAGCAGGAGGAGGAGGAGGAGTGCGACCGAGCGCGGAGAACATGGTGGGACGTCGTGCCGAAAGTGGGAATTAAGAGCGCGCGGTCGCCATAAAAAGTCATCATTCCTGTGTTTGGTTCTGCTGCGCCAGTGGCGCGCTCGAGATCCCACGCCCACGGAGGGCGCGCGGATCGGGTGCGAGACCGAGACCGAGCCCGACCGAGCCCGAGCCTCAACCCTCAACGGGAGGCGACGCGATAAGGGAGGCCCGAGCGCGAGTGCGAGTGGGCGCGGGGGTGGTGCTTTTACTGGCAGCCAGCGGAGGAGGACGGCAGGCGCTGGGCGCGGAGGAATAAGAGCAGGCCCCTGTTCCTCGCGGGCTGCCGCTGCTGCTGCTGCTGCATCGTTCCATTCAGGAGGGCCTGACGCAGGGCAGCGAGTCGTGGCGAGGGTGAGGGAGAGGGTGGTGGGGGAGGGGCGGAAGGTTCAGGGACTTGACTGCGGCAGCAGCTAGAGAGGAGGGGGAGAGGGAGAGGGAGAGAGACTGACTGGCGAGGCGGTTGAGCAGGGGAGGGCAGGCAGGGAGGGAGGGGAGGCAGGGGGGAGAGGACTTGGACTTTTGTTGCCACAAGGGCATGGTGTGCGCGGTCCGACAATCAATATAATACAGCACTATGCACTCGTCGAAGCTCTGCCGTGGCTCCGCACTGCCCCTCTCTGCTGCAAAGCGCGCCTGGTGGCGCGGAGGAGAGCTCGCTTGCTCGGCCTCGGCCTCGCACAATCGCAGGCACTTGGGCGGGCATCGTCCTGTAGCGCCCACTCTTCGCAGCCGACGCTCCAGCCCTCCGCAGCTGCTTCACTCCTTCACGAAAATGCTCACTCACTCCATCCCTGGCCTCGTGCCCATCGCTCGGGCTTCGTCCGCCGAAGCGCAAGCGCACTCTAACGGAGCAGTTCCTGCTTCTGGCTCTGGCAGCTCTGATGGTAAGTTCTTGCGGCCCGCCCGCCGATTCTCGCCTCTTCCCTCTTCCCTCCCCTTTCCATTCCATTCCCTCCCCTCCCCTTCCCTCCCCTTCCATTCCCGCCCTGTCCTGTCCATCCCCTTGCCCTCTGCCCTCTGGCCTCTGGCCTCGCACACTCCGCTCCCTTGCCCACCTGCTGCTGCTGCTGCGTGCCCTGCGAAAGTGACCTCTTCGACCACGCATCGCCCCTCTGTCCATCGCCTCATCATATCCACTTCCTCTCGGGCCGAACGACGAGATCACTGACGGGGACACAGACGTCCGAGTGAGCGGGATTGGATTGCCGTGACGAAGCCAGCCAGCACCCCACCCCGTCCCGTCCCGTCCCGTCCCCCTCCTCCCCGTCCCGCCGCAAACCCAATCTTCTTTCTTGATTATTCTTCAACACAGTGGATTGTGTTGGGGTGTACCCCGACCGCGACGCTTTCGAAGAATTCTAACAGAATTGAAATGAGATGGGGCAGTGCATTCGGCTTTGAGTCAGCTCTGCTCGAAGCTGACGCAATTCTGGGTTCTGCAGAAAGTCTTTGTGAAGTCGGGCCGTCGGCTATCGTACACCACACCAAGCTGACAGAAAAAGCCGGTCAGGATACTCACACATCACTCATGGATCGATGCTCTCAGACCGAGGACTCTTCATTTCCCTTACCCCGGAACAAAGTTTGGAAGCCTGTCAACAGCTTTTGCCTTTCTCCTCTTCATTCTCGTGAGATAAGAGTGCTCACGGTTTCTCGTACAATCTGTAGACAATGGGCAGCTCTTGGAAGATTTCTGATGCATACAATTTTCATCTTGACATCAACCCATCTTAGGGCAGCTTGTGCACAAGGTCGTGTGATGCCGATAATCCTCGTTCATGTTTACCTCGGAAGACTACCACACCTCAGTACGCATTTGAACTCGCGAAATCAATTAATTGAGCGCGCTTCTTTCGTTGATTCCCGAGGTCCCTCGTTTGTTCCCACGCATTCTGTGTATTTCTTCTTGTCTTTGCTGTGAAACAAATTCCTTCTTCCATCTAATTTTTGGGCAGAATTCCCACGTGTCCGCGAGCTGCATAGCGAACATCTAATGGGATCCAATACCGGGAATCTTCAAGTGGAGCAACGAGTAAAGCGTGGAGCCTCAACTGGTTCTTGCTAAGATAATTCTTAGTCGAGAGACTGTATATTAGGGGTTTCTGCGTTTAGAGCCTTACCAGCAATTCCTGAGTTGTCCTTACTGAATGGTCTTACCTTGCTTCTCCGTCATTTCAGCCAGTCGTTCTGTCCAAAGCAGGAGTTTTTTCCCCCCTTATTGTGTTTACGGGAATTCGTCAGCGTGTTCTTGTAATCTTCGTGGTTTTATGTTGTCAAGATAACTTGACTTGTGAGAGATAGAGTGCTTTTTGTGATTGCACGGATTCGCCAGGTTCTACAAGAGATTCGCCATATGCCACGCTGACTATTTCCTTCCATTGTCCTGGTGTGTACCTTACTGAAGTTACTCGTACATCGCGTCCCGTTTTATCATGCAAGCACGCATTGATTTGCGACTTTTGCTGTTTCACCCAGATGATATCTACCAAGATACGGGAGGTTACAAACTTCCCCGAAAGGAGATCAGAGATATTGTGGATGCCCCTCCAACTCCTGCACTATCATTTTCGCCCAAGAGAGACAAGATTCTATTCTTGCAGCGTCGCTCTCTGCCACCGTTGGCTGATTTAGCGAGGCCGGAGCTGAAGCTTGCTGGATTTCGTATCGACCCGTCATTTAATACACGGAGTCGGATGTAAGTGTTTCTTCATATTACACTGCCAGATTATCGTATTGGAGGATTAGCTTGTTATGGACATTTCTGCACTCCTGACTAACAAAGCGAATGAAACATACATAACGTTATGTGCATCGCGAGACTCCTTCACAGTTCAGTCCCCGTTTATGAAGTCTCCTATGTTTCACTAATGAAATAGTACAGAAGGTGCAATCAACCTGACGATGGGGTAGTATACTACCATAAAGATGAACTGCTCCTTGCCGTTCCTTACCTCTCTACAAACCTAGCATGCTCCTGTGGGGAACTGAAGCACTGGGTATGTGGTAAAGCTCGTCTTCAGGTCGTCTTATACAGGAATAAGCATACATGAGCTGTTGGAAGATGGCACCCTAGGACCAGAGGTATCAGTTACGGGGCTTCCTGACGAATCGAAAATCAACTATGTCTCCTGGTAAATCACTGTCTTCTACGTAAATTTTGAATTTCCATTTTATGACTGAGAATGGACATCCTCCCTGAGGCACCTAGAGTAAGCCAAGCGAGCTAGTTTTTGCGTAGCCGTAACTTATGTTAATCATATCCTGCTATTTCCAGTAGTTTTGTTTTCATTCCTGGGCCACTCTTTGAATTTTCTGACTCGTGGTAATTTCTAATTCACAATTCCTGGATCGACGTTTGGCCTGGTCTGCTGAAGGTCTCCAGATGGTACTCACCTGGCATTCACTGTTCGTGGAGACGAACCGGTATGTCTATTCTTTGGTTCTGATCACTTCAGTTAATCGAGGTTTACTATTCGTCACTTATCTGTTGTTTATGAGAAGCGCAATGCCGTTGATCACATGGGCATGACTATAGATTCTAGGTGGTTACTTCCGAAGTTGTCTTCTGTTTGTTAACACTGTGGTTTTAGCGACTGAGTTAATTTCATCGAAGATCTTCATTTTCAGAGGGCACTGCTGTAAATTTCACAAGATATTTGACAGCTGTATACTACGATCATCGTGAGCAGGAGGAGGGTTCAACGTCTGGTCTTGGTGTCTGGGTAGCTAATATCGAAAGTGGAGAGGCGAGGAGGCTGTTTGGTCCTCCTGATTTGCTGTTGAATCCAATTTTTGACACGTAAGTGGACTACTGAATGTGCTCTTAATATTCTTCATACGCTATCACTAGGACATTTAGATCTTTCTTATGATAACACAGTGTATGGTTTGTCCAGACTACTTTTGCAGAAGTTAAGTTAGACTCTCTGCCGTGATGAAGCTGAATTTATGAATTTTAATCTGGCGCCAAGTATCCTAGTTCAAGTAGATAACTCTGGCCTTCTGGTCCATGTTTTTCTTGATCTTGTCTTCACTTCTGCCAAGCAGACATTACCACTGGAAGAAACTATGTATCTAGGCTTAAACTACGTGATTTTTCCCCGCAGATTCGCCTGGTTGGACGACTGTACACTTGTTGCTTGTTGCATACCTCCATCTCGAGGGCCCCCACCTAAGAAACCTTTAGTACCAGCTGGTCCAAATATTCAGTCAAACGAGACGAAAGAAGTGGTCCAAAATCGAACTTATCAAGACTTGCTGAAGGACCAACATGACGAAGACCTATTTGATCACTACGGTACATCTCAATTATTCCTGATTAACCTGAATGGGGAAACAGAACCGATTGGGAAACCAGCTGTGTATACTTCCATCGATCCCTCACCGGATGGAAGCTACTTTCTTGTTTCAACAACTCACAGACCATACTCGTTTATTGTTCCTTCCGGGAGGTTCCCAAAACGCATGGAATTGTGGAAGCGAACTGGGGAGTTCGTCAGAGAGATATGTTCTCTTCCTCTTGCTGAAAATATTCCGATCACATTCAACAGTGTACGGCAGGGAAGGAGGTCCATCAACTGGCGAGCTGACAAACCTGCTTGCCTATACTGGTGAGAACTTGTTCTGCCAGTTCTCAACGACTATCGCTACTTTTAGTAAAAGTAGCTGTGAGAGACGAGCACAATAAAATATTTTCATGTCCAATTGATGTTTGTACGGGACGTTGTGGACAGGGTTGAAACTCAGGACGGAGGAGATGCAAAAGTGGAAGTGAATCCAAGGGATATCGTATATACACAACCGGCAGACTGTCCAGAAGGAGAAGAGCCACAGGTTTTATACAAGTTGGAGCTACGATACGGGTAAACCATCTTTCGTTTTCTAGTGTTCAATCTTGTACGTTGATATTTTTCTCTGTGAATAGAGGACAAGTAAACATCCTTATTTTTGTTTGTCTCCTCCAGAGGTGTTGTTTGGGGGGATGAAGGACTTGCACTGGTGTATGAGTCATGGTACAAAACACGACGCACTCGAACTTGGATGATTGCACCCGGGAATCTTCAAGCAGAAGGGCGTAAGCTTTTTGATCGCTCATCAGAAGATGTCTACGCAGATCCTGGTTCACCAATGCTTCGCAGAACTTCTCTCGGAACGTACGTTCTTGCAGGTGTCAAAGATGCTGATGGCAAGAAGAGGCTGCTCCTGAATGGAAGTGGCGCAACACCACAAGGCAATATTCCTTTCTTGGATCTGCTGGAAATGTAAGAACATTATCAAAATTCATCACTGCTCAGGCCTTTGTCTCATTCATGCTCATTTATGGAACAAGCCTGTTAGGAGAATTGTGAGTTCCTTCACAAGGGCATTGTGATCTTTTCAGTCGAGTTAATCTGGTGCTTCCGTTACGAAAAGGGGAGATACCTCCAATATTTCTCTCAATTGTTTCAGTTGGTGGCTATCATTCTTACTATGTACGCTTTAACTTATGTTTCTACTGTGGGCACCCGAGGCTTGACTGCAAGAAAGTAATTTTCAAAACTCAGCGGTCCTGTGATATCTAAGTTCACGTTGGTTTGGCAGCGAGTCAGGTGAAAAACAGCGAATCTGGGAAAGTAGCAAGGAGACCTATTTCGAGACAGTCGTAGCTCTGATGTCAGATCAGGTGGATGGAGATCTGGACCTGAACAAGTTACGTATTTTGGTCTCAAAGGAATCTCAAACCGATCCACCTCAGTATTATCTGCGCTCCTGGCCTGAGCAAACTGTCTGTCAAATTACAAACTTCCCTCATCCCTATCCTCAAATAGCTAATCTGAAGAAGGAGATTATACGATACGAACGGAGCGATGGTGTGCAACTTACAGCAAATTTGTATTTACCTCCAGCGTATGACCCTGCTACTGATGGGCCACTGCCATTGCTAATGTGGGCATACCCAAGGGAATTCAAGAGCAAAGATAACGCTGGCCAGATGAGAGGATCACCTTATAGTTTTGCAGGCATTGGATCTACTTCGGCATTGTTGTGGTTGGCTAGAAGGTAAGCCTAATTGAAGAAGGCATCAACCGATTAAACTTTTCGAGATGTGGATTTCTTGGTTTTGTATTCTCATGTGCTTGAAGTAATTTCTTCTGTTTGTTTCTTTTGTTACTGGCAGATTTGCTATTCTGGATGGTCCGACCATGCCCATCATTGGCGAAGGAGACGAGGAGGCCAATGACAGGTGAAATTCATCTATTTTAGAGAATGGATGGCATTGTTTGAGACGATTACCTAATTTTCAATGATCAACATCATGGTTTCTCGTAAATATTTTCCAAATCAACCATCACAAGGCATTCTTGGTACATGTTCAGTGAGCTAGATGGTGTTTTGGTAATTCATTGTCTCCTCAGGTTATGCCACTCTCGATTCTGCAATGAACTTCAGCATACCCAAGATGTTTGTAATCCTCTTGCTGAAGGAAGAATCTTAAGAATGATTTGGATATCTTGAAGTTTAAAACGAACCTTTGTGCTTGACTGCAGGTACGTGGAGCAGCTGGTTGCGAGTGCTCAAGCCGCAGTTGATGAGGTTATCCGAAGAGGGGTATGTTCAAATCAGTATGAGCTAACGACTAGTGTCCATGGGACAGCATACCCATGCATGAGCATAAGAAGACCCTTTGGACTGTAAATTGTGTGCACAGAAGTCCTGCTGTTGGAGTAACGCATCGTTTTCTGACATGCTCTTGTTTCTTCGTGAACAACAGGTGGCTCATCCAAAAAAGATAGCTGTTGGGGGGCATTCTTACGGTGCTTTCATGACCGCCAATCTGCTTGCCCATGCTCCTCATTTGTTTGCCTGCGGTATAGCACGGGCTGGCGCTTACAACAGGACATTGACTCCATTTGGCTTTCAGGTATGTTTTGTAGCTACTTCGATGCTAGTTCTTGTAAGAACTGCTATTGATCGGAGAATACTGGGGACGAACATGCTTGTGACGGGAGCTTAAATGCTCTGCAAGCGTTTGTGTAAAGTCCGAATTAGCTGTAGATCTTCCGATGTTTGCGTTTTGATTCTAACTTTGGTTCTTTCTCAGGCTGAAGAGAGAACTCTCTGGGAGGCACCCACGACGTACATCAATATGAGTCCTTTCATGTTAGCAAACAAGATCAAGAAACCTATTCTGCTTATTCATGGGGAAGAAGATAACAATCCAGGAACGATGACAATGCAGGTACTGTGAAGCTAACAGTTTTATACCGCGTCTAGCATCTTGGGGAGAAAATGACGATGCTGGGTGTCTTAGGCTAGATATTACTTATTTCGAGTGTTGAGGAGAACACGGTCATCTGATGTGACTTTGTGCTTGAAAAATGAGATTCTTGCTGTTGTTAAGTTAGCAGTACGTCATCGAGCTTATCCACCTGTAATGCTATTGACTTCGTTTTTATCGCAGTCTGACCGATTTTACAACGCGCTCAAAGGACATGGAGCACTTACTCGGCTCGTATTGCTACCTTTTGAAAGTCATGGGTATCAAGGAAGGGAGAGTGTTATGCATTGCCTATGGGAGATGGATAGATGGTTGCAAAAGTATTGCACCGACGGGGAAGCAGACGAAACTCCTGACGCATCAAGCGAGCAAGAGGCAAAAGGACATGTCACTTCTGGTACACTTGGTGAGGCTGGCAAATCTGAGGAAAGTGTTGACGGTGAAGATCCTCCTGAAAGTCGTAGTAGGCATTGGAGTGGTATGTTGTCCCTCTTGTAAGGAGACGAAGAAGCAGAGTTCCAAATTTGAATCGAGACCAATAGCGTATGTTCATATGGCCGTTGACGATCAAGGTGGGCCGGATTGTTTCAATCATTAGAGCAGTTGTACGTGGTTGACCGGGGGAAGTTTTATCTATTATAGGGTGCTCAGAGTCTGGAGAGAACATCACGCACTGCACAAACTGTTGTAGTTAGCTAGTCAGTTCCAAATCTAGTCGATGTCGTGCACTTCGATCCGGCAAGAGAAGAGGCAACATCATGCGAGTAAGCAATAAGTGTTGTAATAGGCCTACAAACATTTTTAGATTCTAGACTGCAAATTTTGCTTGTCCATGTTTGATAGATTCTAGACGTGCTGTACGTGCAAGTGTCCACAAGTCACCTTCAAAACGTTAGTGGAAATGTCGGAAAGTGTAAGTTAACTGTGTAGTTAGTTGAGATATGTACACAACGTTTGCTTGATTGCCGAGAAGTGTGGCTCCCACACCGTGTATCTTTTCTTGAGAAGGGAGGCTCTCACACCATGTATATCTTGCACACTTCAGTGGTAGGACGGCTTTTGGCGTCCGTTGCAGCTCTTCGACGTTTTTTAAAGCCGATTTTTGGATATCTTCTGTTCATGTTGACCTGGCATCGACTCTACAGGACCACCTCTCTGCTGCAGTGAAAGTCTGTTCATGATTGGGGTCTACCGTACTTGACTCGCAAGTGTTTGCTTAGTGACACGGGATATTATTAACCTTCAGCCAGAGCCCCGATGTAGCAAGGAATTAAAGTCATCCAACCATGAAAGACAAATTGGCACCCGGATTTCGTTAATATCGTTTTGACGGCCGCTGTGGAGGTGATTGCTCATCTGAGCTAACAATTATTGTGCTGATCTCAGAATACTCGCGAAGCTGACGCGATGACATCAGAAACGAAAGGAACTGCGTGCGTGTGCTCTCAATTGCTATCAACATTCCATTTTGGCCATGAGCTTGGTATGGTGGTAAAAGAGTGTCAGTGAGGAACGGGCTGTTCAGAGTAATAATTACTAAAGTAGACGCTCTGAGTAAAGATAACGATGGGCATGGTTTGTCTCTGCCTGCGTCGTCTTTGTGCACATGATTTGTGGACCTGCCTTTGGGACATATCATGTCCAAGCGAGGTGGACGAAGCCTATGTTGTGGACGATGGTTGAGCAAAGTCGGGTCCATTGAATTGGTCAGAAGCGCTGCATTTGTGTATGTGCTGCAGCACCGATGAACAGCCGGGCACTGTCAAGCTGTGTTTGAGACTACTGGAGGACTTAAATACAGTCTTCCAGTAAGCTCAAACCCAGTTCCCCGACCTGCCTCGTAATGTATGTACATATCTAAACACGACGCGCTTGGAATGTGGAGAACCAGGCCGGTCTCACTGCGGAGATTCAGCCGCCCGTCCCGAATGTGTTTCTTGAACTCTGTCAGCGGAAACCGATGCGTCTTCAAGTTTCGAGTCTTCGAGATCACGATAAGGGCTCACCAATCCCAAGTCGACTCACTAGCACACAAGCCGTCAAAAGAACACAGTGCAAGTTTGATCCCTTGATCCGTTGATCCCGATCGATCAGTATCGAACTCAAACGACCGACCGACCCGCGAGCATTGGAAAAACTGCTGTTGATAACAGTACCTGACTCGATATTGCAGGCAAGCAGGCAACTGGAATCGTGTGCAGGAAGCGAAGTCACACAGTAGAAACCCCCATGGGGGATTGTAGCCACCTCTGACTGGATCCTCCGGTAGGCCGTGCCTGTTGGGCTTGGACCCTGAGCCCAGGCACTAATCATGTCTCTTTCGATGGACTGACTGATTTGTTAAGCCCTCTGGTCACGAACCAAGTGTAAGTTCCACTCGTGGGACCCGAATCACTGAAGTGATGAAGGAATACCGAGAGGGACTCGGGAGAAAACTGTATCAGCTCACTCAGTTGACCGGCTTCGGGACTTTCAGCTGGGCTCTCCTCTTCGTGACGACGTCACGAGGACATAAAGGCAAAGTTCCCAGAGTTGGTGTCGTTTCTGGCACAAGTCATGCACCGAGGATGTTGTTCCAGTGATGGTCCAATCCGATTGATTTCCCGGTCCTTTCAAGGGAAATGCTTTCCACAATGTGTGCATGCGTGTGTATATCTTACAGAAGGGAAGATTTTTAGCGCAGCCTGAGGTGAGCAAGAAAGAAATGCAATGCACTGCTCTGCACTGCTGGGTGGACCCCGGGACCGTGGCAGAAGCACATACTCAGATCAGTAGTACAAAGGACTCGCTGTAGCGGACCCTTGTCTCTTTGTGGTTCTCTCCCAGTTCGAGCTTTTATTCCTTTGATGGTTTGGCTTCTTCGCGGTGATCTCAGCATTGTGATCCAAATCTCCTGTTTTTTCTCGACATGTTTCCTCGAAAGCGCCCGGCATGACTCACTGTGCGTTTCTGCAGTCTCCATGGAAGCTGGCTGGAAAGGCGGCCAGAGGGCCACCACATCTAACATTGATTCTGCTGACATCGTAGCTGTGGCGAGTGACCGTTCCAAAGCATGCGCTGTCTTGCGGATATGAACCCATTCGAGTTACTGTGACCAGGATCCCGTCATTTCCTCTCGAATTCCTTGCGAGATTTGTGTGGTAAATTCGAATTCCCTGACCCCAATCGTGTGCATCGCTCCGAACCTCGCAACCTGACCTAAACTTGAACTCGGTTCAATTGTTGCTCAGACCCTTCTCGGAGAAGTTTCCAACCCATGGAGGTGTTCGCCTCTGACCTTCCACTGTGACTGCACTTGGTCTTAGAAGCTGCCTACCTCGAGGCTCTAGCTCGCACTGTGACGTGGGCCAGAAGTGGGGGAGGTCGCATCTGTCAATCCTTAGACCTCGAGATTAATTCGGAGTGAAGATGTTTAGGCATTGGGATTTGACACTCGAGGGAAGAAATTTGATCCTGTCAACGTTCTCAGCGAAGCATTTGTTGGTTGCACTCTAAAAGGACTCTGGGCGATCGAGATGGTGGATTTGGCGTCCTTGATAATTGCTGTGATTCTGTTTATCGTTCTCTCCCCTGGTTTGCTATTTCAGATTCCTGGCGAGGACAGACCTCTCGAGTTTGGCACTCACAACACGAGCTTGCCTTCTGTTCTCGTGCACGCCGCGTTGTTTCTCGTATTCTTCTACCTGCTGCAGTTGGGCTTCGGCGTCCATGGCGGGACAAAATCGGAATTCATCTAATCGAATGCCCTCAGCTTTCGATGGGGTGGAACAACGTGAACAAGGATGATGAAGATGAACGTGCAATTCAGGATCTGGAATGGTATCCAAACCAGAAAAAAAGTTCGAGATTTTAGACCGGGAAACCTATGAGTGGTTGAGTGTTCATTTCTGTACAGACCTGCAATTTCTGTATGATTAGACGGTTAGCTGTGAGGCGAGATATGGTGGACAGTCTTGGACTAGCAAGACGCTGCAAAGGATGATCTTCATCCTTCGCAGTTTACTTGATGAAGATCAGTGAACGATGGTTGAAATCCAGAACTACTGACCGAAAGAAAACAGAAAGAATTTCTCGTGCACAGTTAAGTTGAAGAAAATTGTTTCCAGAGCTGTAATTAGTGTACAGGTTTGCTTGTACTACTCTGATTTCTGTGCGTGCTCTCAGGGTGAGTAATCTGTCCTCGTTTGCGATTGTTCAAGTGTACTTTGCACAGGCTGCTGCCTCGTTACAGAAAATGAAAAGTCACTCTGCTACCACTGTCACTATGATAAGCATTACAACGAGACGAATAGCAATGAATTTGACATGAAAATGGTCGTAGCATGGACATACACACACCAGTCATGTTCAAACCGCGCTTGGGTTGCATCAATGATGTCCATGAAAATCAAGTGTCTGTGATAAATTAGAGTGTCAACTTTACTCCGATGTGGTCATATCGATACGCTTAGGTCGCATCGCATTTTTGATTCATCTCCATGGACTCTGTTGTCCAAAAACAACACTATCAAAGAAACTATCATTGTTTTTTGATCTCAACGGTTACAGCCGTCTTGACATCAAAGTTTTAAGTAACACCATTTCAATGTCACAACAGGTATCGGATCTATCCCTAACAGTAGTCGCAAACCCCACACACTTCAAATCAAGGAGAAACAAGTATATTTCGTTCACAGTATATATCAAAACCATATTTACTGACACAAAGGAATCTAAGCACTCGTAGACAGCTCTTCGGATGTTGAAGAGCAGTACAACTCAAACGAAAGTCGAATAATTTATCATGATACGGAGTCTTTGGAGGAGAAATTGCCCTCTACGAGCCAGAAAACCTGCTGACATGAACTTGGATTCCGACTGCTGTAAGAAGTCGATTACAGCTTTGGGTGGAAGAAAGAATGGAGTGAAGCTTCGAGTCACGAATGTGAAAACTGCCGATCGGGACAACTCACGGAGTGTCCTTTAAATAAATTATCTTCGAATAAAAAAATGAAGCATGTCCTTGAATAGTAGTATTTGTAAATGACGTCCACCTTGAGCCGAGACTTGGACCTTTGGACTCTGAAGAAATAGATATTTGCGTTCAGACTTTGGATATGGGTATTTATACGGCGTGAACACGGTGAAGATTAGTGGCGTGGGTGAATTTTCTGTCAGAATTTTCTGGGTGAATTTTCTGATCCATTCCATACACACGCTACGTCTCTTGGCACGCATGTAAATACTCAGAGTCTCATTAAGGTCAGAGTGAGTACTTGACAATGTGATCTATGCCTATATGTTACTGAATTTCAGTCAGGAATATACATGCATGCAACGATGTAATATGGAAGAAAGTAGATGTACACAACTGCACAGACATTTCAGCAGCATTCATTAGGAGCTTGCATTGAACTCGTTTACATTCAATAAACCCACGTGCTAAAGAAATTCCTAGTAGACGATTTTGCACCCTCTGGATACACGGAGACGGAGTATTGGTATTGGAGGTCCTTCCGATTTATTCACGGAAAAGATTCGTGTTATATATCGGAGGCTGAATGCATTCTATACTTCATGGGACATACATGCCCGCAGATAAGGGCAGAAGAAATGAGCACGGAATAGTAAATGCTTGGGGATGAAACCGCCAAGAAGAATGTTAGGAGGAATCGAGGATCAGGCCTCAGATGCTAGTCATCAGAGAGCTGAACTGACTACCAGCGAACGAGGGTCCAAGTAAGCAAATTTGGGCCAATAAGAAGATTTGGATGGACATTGGACATTGTGCATTAGTGTATCCAGTGGCTGACACAGATCTTGTAGGTACACGACTCCTGTCCAAGTTCTTAAACCCCTGGAGCCACATGAACGTCATGTTGATGTCACTTCACAAGTAACAAGTAAACTGTCAATTTTGGGTTATGGATGAAACCAAATGGAGGTAACATGGGGCGATGCCCAAAAGAATGAAAAAAGTTTCTGCTGCAGTTAAGATATCCCAATTCTCGGCGAACACCTGTAAACTTGGCCAGTGAATACCACCAGAGCAGGTAATCAATCTGTAGTCACCACAGTGAGCGAGGGAGGAGCAGGTCCAAAACGACAAGACGAGGACGCGTAGAATCTGGAAACCCGCAGAAGGAGTCTGCAATCGCACCATCCGTCCCACAACTGACAGCCGCGTATGATGACCAGTCTTGACTTTTCTTCTGTTTTAGCAATGAGTTTAGCTTGTTCCGACCCATGAGACTGGCTGGTCACAAGATTCCGTGTGATAGAGTAGATTGTCGAGATTCAGAAGCCCAGCAGCGTGATGGCAAAAGATGCCCAAGGAATGACTTATTATTTATTTCATGGCAGAATCAACAAACATGGGACCTTCATCGTGAGGATCTCAAGTGCACAAAAAAGCTCCATAAATATCTGAAGGATACGAGGACCGCATCCACTTATCGAGTTTTTATCTAATTCGGACTTCGATAGTGGTTTTCTAACGAACATGAAATCACTACAGTAAACATTAAGTCTGCATTATGATCTGGAGAATCCAGTGCGGACTTAAGGTTCTTAGAAACAAAACTCGTTGATTGATCAAACCCAAATCTTCCACAATGTTTTATTGAGCGAAATGAGCTTGCAATCCGTTAATAGTAGAGGCGGTCGTCTCAACTACCGGCAGCGAATGGAGATTAACTCATTGTTAGAACAGCAAATTCCGCGTTCAATACACAAAATTGCTCGTCAATTTGGAATGGATGAGAAGATAATTCGGAACCTGAAGTCCAAGAGGATTTAGAGATCTCAGAAAGTAATCAACCTATCCAGGAATCCACATTTCCTGAACTCGAGTGGATTGGATCCAGTAATCCTATGTCATTTGCATTGACTCCCAATACTATTTGTCATAAGGCGAAAATTATTAACCATTTAGAAATACTAGAGGTAAAAATTAAGACTTCTTGGGGATGGTCTGCTAGGTTTTCTTGCCAATAGCAATCAAATGACTATATTCTACTACATCATACCGTAAAATAGAGTCTATATGCTTTGATAAGTAATAAAATTTTATCCCGTTTTTTTGAAAGTAATTATGTGGACTTAACCAAATGTTTACTGTACCTATACCCTCTAGCTAGGCACTGATGTTGCTGTCCGTCTGCTGGACTGTGGACGATGCCTCCAAAATGCGGAAAATGGGGGACTGGAACTTGGCGGGACTTTCAAGTGTGCGCTACGGTAGTCAAAGTCATCCTATGTGCGTACCGTAGAATCCAAGCGATCCGCAAGCATTTTCTCCCACTTTGTTTGGTGAACTAAATTGTTCAGTAAAATAATAAGTCATGCTTGGTCAGAGGATTAAACTCCAGATGGTACTCGGTTTTGGACGATCTGGCGAGAGCGCCATTGAGCGGGGTCCATCGGTGCTCAGCAAAGCGGCAGATGCTCTCCGAGATCTCCCATTGCATTGCCCAGTGGGCCTAGGGGCACGTCACTGCATGTCGAGGAGGGTCCCTGCGTGCGTGCGCTCCGGCCCCTCCTGCTATGTCGACCCGTGCATCGACCAGGTGCACTGTGTTGCTCGAATCTATTCGAAGCTGGAAGAAGAGTCCGTCGTTGTAAGTGGCGTAGAAAATGGACACCGACCACACTTGAAGCTCGACAAGCAAGCATTTCCTGTGAAATTCTTGGTTATGATACGTGATTGTGTGTGTGTGTGTGTCTGTTTGGTGGTGCCTTGTATTTTATTAATGGGTCAATTGATGAAAGGAGCATTTTTCACTTACACTCGTTCATCTCAATACATCGAACAATGTTCATTCGACTGGTTTTCCCTCACTCTACTTAAGACCCACTTGCTATAGATGATGAAAGCATTGATAAAAGGGACTGAACACAAATTTCAATCTGATCATTGAGATTTCAGATTCTCACTCCCTTCATTCCGTTATTCTTGGTTGATGACATTTTCAGCCAAGACTCGAGGACTCTGCGGTTGGAAATGTCCAATGTTACTGAAAGTGCCCACACATCCTGTCGGAGCAGTTGTTGTCGTCTCCCATGCATCCAGTCGTTTGCAGAATCCATGCGATATTCTCTACGAGAACCTTACGACATAAACCTCTTCTCACCAACCTCCATGGATGGATCGATGGTTATCGTTGATGTGGTCGAGTCAGAAGGTGATGCACAATGGAACTGCACTAATCTGAACTCAGTTTGGGGACTTCAAGTCAGTAAACTTCTTGCTGAAACAATGTATCAGTTGCCGTGTACTGCCGAATCTTCAGTATATACGAGGTAAGTATAAGGACCAGAGGCTGGCCATGGTCTTCATGCTCAAACTGCTGTCTGGATGTCGTGAGAACAAGAGAGAGTGAGGCCAGGGAAGGGATTATTTCTTACCACTCGGCGGTGTTTTACTTTGCCGAGTGTAGAGAGTGGATATTCAATTTCCTTCTTTATATTTGAAAAACAATAGAAAATTAATTAACGGATGATTGAATAAATCCTTTTTAGGGTTAAGTGATTTTCTGTACTTAAAAATTTTTCTGATAAGATCAAATTCGCATGGCCGAATTTTTTGGAAAGTTTATTCGATACACTTAATGCGAGATCTAGCTATTATCACATACACATTGCGTTCGAGTTGAACTTCCAACTCGATAGTACATTTTTTAATAAGCTCATTGAAATTTATATAATAATCTCTACAGTTTTTCCTGACCAATATTGCAACCGTTATGATGTTACAACAAGATATTATCTTCTTGGACCATAAGATACACTAATTTATCATTCAAGCTGCTTGTAATTCAGATCTATTCTTTTACAACCTAAGCTTAAACTTTGAAAACTTTATGGGACTTATGGGTCCAAAAAATTATGAATATTATGAGGATTTAAAAGAATTCAATTTTAGTATAAAAAATGCGTACAACCCAAATTTATTTCTAGATTGAGTTTTACTCAATTGAAATATTTCTAAGTGCAAAATGCATTTAAATTTTGATTTATATAGTTAAAATGATCATATGTAGTTTGCTGTCATGGATTTAAGTACAGTAGTTAAAGGTTTGCGTCAAAATATTTCATGAAATGTAGATGTCTAAACGAATAACTTGTGATAAATTTCTTTTATTGAAATTTTGGATATCGCTTTATGCTACACTAAAAAATTAGACTTTTTTATTTTTATAAGACTTATACTTTAAAATTGTGATATATGGCTGCTTGGAATTGTTTGTGAAATTTTAAAGTAAGTGTACTATGCAA